GAGTCCACAAAGTCTCCCTGCTGTGGGGAGAGGCAAGCTTTGAATCAAGCTGTGTGCTTTTAAACCTCTATGGAAGTCCAACCCTCCATCAGTAGACAGACAAAAGTGATCAAAATCAGGGCAAAAATTAGTGAAATGGGGTGTAAGAGAAGAATATAAAGGACCAGTGAAAAAATGTGGGTTTTTTTGTAGTTTTATTCTTAGGGTACACGTGTGCATGTGTGTGTAAGCCATTTCTGTGTGGGCGTCCATATAGGTCAGTGCCTCCGTTCACTTTGATATTCTCTCTCTCTCTCTCTCTCTCTCTCTCTCACACACACACACACACACACACAAATAATAAAAGCAGTTTTCTATGCTCCAGCTCCTTGATGGGTAAAATGTCACTACTCCTTCTGTTCACAAATGTCACTACTTGAATAAACCTTTTTTTAGGTTTCTCTTCCTCCATTGGCTGTATTGTTATTTCTGTGTTCTTATTTTTGTAGACTGTCGGTCGGTTGGTTGGTTGTTGGTTGGTTGACTGATCAGTTGGATTTCTTGGTACAGAGACCATTTCTTTTTTGTCATCGGTTGGTTTGACTTGGCTTAGGACAAGATCTATGTATTTCAGGTTGGCCTCAGACTGGCCCTGTAGGATGCTGTTGAGCTCCGACCCTTGCCCCAGCCTGCCAGTGCTAGGATTGCAGGTGTGCGCTGCCATCTGGCTTAGCAGTGCTGGAGGTCGAACTTTCGTGCAGGCACTGTCAGCCGAGCTCCACACGCAGTCCCCAGAGATCACCTCTTAGTTCACCTTTCCTGCCCTGCACTAACGTGAGCTGAGCCACTGCAGCCCTCCTGGACATTTACGGTGCCAACAGTGTAGAGAAGGTCATGGCTTAGTTTTGGTAAGGAAAAATTTAAAAACCTGTAAAAATACAAAACTAGATCTCTTGGTACATGAAATACATGTTTAACAGTTAATAAGAGTAATGCTGATATTCCTAAATTATTAGGCAAAATACAGCTTCTTTGCCTCATTTCTTTCCCAACCCAGTCGAACATTTTAGATTTTTTTTTTTTTTTACATTTATAAAGTTGCTGCTTTTTCCAGGTGTGGTGGCACATGTCTGTAATCTTAGGACTTCAGCGAAGAGGCAGAAGGTCAGGAGTTCAGAGTCAGCCTCAGCTTCATAGTAAATTTGAGGCCATTGTGTGCTACATGAGACTTTCTCAAAATAACAAGATTAAAACATTTTAAAATAAGCCGGGCGGTGGTGGCGCACGCCTTTAATTCCAGCACTCGGGAGGCAGAGGCAGGCGGATCTCTGTGAGTTTGAGGCCAGCCTTGTCTACAAGAGCTAGTTCCAGGACAGGCTCTAAAGCTACAGAGAACCCCTGTCTCAAAAACTAAAAAAAAAAAAAAAAAAAAAAAAAAAAAAAATTAAAATAAATTAGACAGTGTTTTTGTGTTGTGTATGTATTTACAAGGAGTTCGCAACTTATCTTAATTTTAAAACATTTTACTACTGGAAAGTGAAAGCCGTGCCTTTAGGCCCTGCTCCAAAGCTACAGAGAACCCCTGTCTCGAAAACTAAAAAAAAAAAAAAAAAAAAAAAAAAAAAAAAAAATTTAAAATAAATTAGACAGTGTTTTTGCTGTTGTGTATGTATTTACAAGGAGTTCGCAACCTTTCTTAATTTTAAGACATTTTACTACTAGGCCCTGCTCCAATTGTCTAGTTCCCGTCTCCCCTGGTATCTGAGTTGGTTTTCTCCTGCTGTGCAGTTTCTGACAAGCAGCTTAGAGAGAAGGAGTTTGTCCTACTGCTGAAGTCAGGCAGCAGGAGCTGGAATCCGCTCTTCCCATGGTATCCAGTCAGAGATGGCATCCTAGGCTCAGTTCTCCTTCTGCATTTATCTGGGCTGGGATCCCTGCTAGGGAATGGTACCATCTGCAGTGGGTTGTCCTCCCGCCTGTTTATAACCGGGATAACATGCATGTCCTGATGATGGAAAGTCTGTCAAGCTGACAGCCTTGATCATCACACCTACCAACTGCTAACCTGTTTTCTGTCTCTGAATTTGAGTTTCAGTGCTTTAGACATTCTGTATACATGGGAATCTATAGAATCTTCTTGTAGGTATCCTTTGGTGTAGTTTCTTGCATTAGCCTTTTTTCCAGATTCATCCTGGCAGCCATATGTATATCATTTCTTTATTTTTGTTGTTGCTGTTTTGCTTTTTTTTTTCTCCTTTCTTTTTCTTTGTGGGGTGGGCAGTGGGGATAGGTCTAAGCCTTCCCACTCTGCACAGCTGAGTCACATCCCCGGCTATGCTCCATCCTTGTCATGGCTCTGTAAATTTCCATTGTGTGGACCAGTCTTTTGTTTTCGGTTCATCTGTTGATATTTGGGTTGTTTCTACCTATTAACTCTTGGGAACAACAGTGCTCTTTCTTCCATGTTTTACTTTTTCTATTTAAATTCTTAGAGTTACTAAGTCGTGTACTAGGTAACTCATTGTTAGTGTTTGAGAAGCTAGCCACCCGTCTAGTGCTGCCGTAAACATCAGCACTGTTAGTACTGGGAGCTGGAGTGACACCTGTCCAGGCCCTGTGTCGCCTGTGCGTTTCCTTTAACAGCATCTGTCAGGCTTTTGTTTACTTTGATACATTAATATAGACACATCTATATATACACAGAACAGCGCTGTCAGAGTTGTGGCATATCAGGAAGTGGGGAATTTATCCTTTTTGTGAAGCTTTCGCCATTTTCTATATAGTTCTTATCACAGTGTTTTCCTGCATTGACCTCCTGGTTTGTTGTTGTTGCTGTTTTGTTTGTTTGTTTGTTTGTTTTTTCCAGTTGGTAAAAGATGGCACTAGGGAAGGCTGGGAGAGGTAACCCTTCTAGGATGTCCATCCTAAGCTTATTCCTGGATTAAGAGGGCTCCTAAAGCTGTTTCTGTTGTCTGCTTGTGTGTTTCTCTCTGTTTTAGCCAATGCCCTGGCTCCAGAATAATTTCTCATCTTATTAGTTCTATTGCTCAGAGCTTTGTTTTTACTATTTGTTTCCTAATTTGCAAAAAATAAAACAACAGTAAAAACGATAAATTGCGTAATTGTTTTATGTCCACTTAACAGTCCCTAAGATCAATACTATTGCTGTGTGTGGTGTTGAGCACTTGGGAGGCAGAGGCAGGCATTGTCTGAGTTCAAGGCTAGCCTGGTCTACAGAGTGAGTTCCAGGACAGCCAAGGCTACGCAGAAAAACCCTGTCTCGAAAAACCAAACAAACCAAACAAAAAGGATTATGATCATTATTATTCTTAGTCTCCTCTTATTGCTGAAAACAAATGACCGGATAAAAACCACTTGGTCAGAGAAGTCACACTCTTGGAATTCTTCAGAGGAATCTCTCCTAGCTTCTAAGGAATGAGTCTAAACCAAGAATTCTCCTGTGATGATTGCACTTCACTAGCTGTGTTGTGTGAGACCAGGTGTCTCTGTGTCGTGAAGGCTCTCCTGAACCCCTGTGCAGATCACATGCGTGACTGTCCCGCACCGCGCCCCCCCTCTGTGCTCTGTGTGCTGGCACCCAGTTCACAAGCTTCGGGCAAGGGGCTGGAGGTTAAAATACAGACACACACAGACAGAGAGACAGCCACACGGGTCATTCTTGAATTCCCCAAGAATGCCCCCTTTATTGTGTTCAGGGGCAGATTATATAGAGATAGCCACACCCCAGCCAAAGCCACCAGAAACCACTCTCCTGCCATGAGGAACTCCTGAAGGTCTCGTGCTCAGAGCAGCTGTAGGCACTCAGATCAGGGGATTACAAGAAATTCAGGATCTGGGGTCTCACTGCTCCCAACACGTGACCTCACACCCAGACTGCATTGACTGTCGAGTGGAATGTGTCCGTGTCACCCCTTCTGTCCCTTACGTGGCTCTGAATTATGTAGGGAAAGAATCCTGATCCTCCCAAGGTTAAGTCTATCACCGAAGCCTTCAAATGCGGAGCAGCGGTGTTTGCACTGGTCACTGGTTTGAAGAGAGGCTCTGTTAAGTGTAGTTATAGAGTCTGACGTGGTTGTGAACTTCCTTCTAGTGTTAGAGATAAACAGACTGCTACTCTTGCCTTAACAGAAATTCAGCCTTTAGAGAGATGATCAAATAACTACTCTCATGTGGAAAAATACCCGTAAAATACACTTAAAGTTGTTGAATACGGTAGAATACAGCAGAGATTATTTTTTTCAAGTTATTGTTGCTGCTTTTTAGATTTATTTATTTTTTATACATATGAGTGTTTTGCCTGCATATATGTATGTGTACAGTGTGTGTGCCTGGTGCCCTCTGAGATTGAAAGAGGGCATCAGATCCTTTGGGACTAGAGTTATAGATGTTTGTGAGCCACCATGTGGGTGCTGGGAACTGAAATGGGGGCCTCTGCAAGAGAAGTAAAAGCACTGAGCCATCTCTCCAGCACCAGGTTCTGTCTTAGTTATTATAGGCATAGTATTAGTAAATGTTTCTGTGACTCTAAGCATTATGAATTATAGGTTGGAATTGGATTGGCATGTCATTTCTGAACTCTTTCCTCTATATATGTGTATTAATAAGAATACAACATAATCATAGAAGACAACCAGTATTTATTGCCATTCAACTTGATGATCCTATGACAAAATGGCTAGGAAAACCAACCTAAATAAGGACAGATTTATTTTGGCTCTTAGTTTCAGAAGTTTTGGTGCACGATCTCTTGGCCCCACTGTCTCTGGGCCTGCAGTGAGACACAGCATCATGTTGGTGCGTGTGGTGTAGCAGTCTTTTTCATCCTCTGGGAAACAGGGATGACCGTATGCCTTTGAGTGACCAGCTTCTACAGCTAGCCCTCACCTACTCAACTAATAAGCGTTCAGTACCTGAGCTATTGGGGAGCATTCCAAATCAAAGTATAACAAATGGCAACCAAATTTGTTTTCATGTATTAAGCTATTCATTTTCTCTTACAGATATGCCAAGAGTTTAACAGTGCCTGGGCGTGGGAGATGGAGAAGAAAGGCTATCTTGAGATGAGCGTGGAGTGCAAACTAGCACTCTTAAAGGTGATGCATGCGTTTTCTGTTGTAGTTATGTTTTTAAAGTTGACTTTTACCCCTAAATTACAAAGTAAAGAAAGCAAGACAGTTCAATGAGTAAACATACTTCCACCAAGTCTAACACCCCAAGTTTGCATCCCTGGAACCCCATGGCAGAAGGAGATGTGACTCTGTCTTCACATGCACACCCACATGTCCGCAAGTGCACCCACAAATAAGTGGATTACCACAGGTAACAACAGAGTTTGAAGGAAAAAGAAATTTAGTGTGAGTGCACACGATGTAATCTCAGTAATTGGGAGGCTGATTCAGGAAGATCTTGAGTTTGAGGCCAGCCTGGGCTATTTCTTATATCCGAACAGAGGGCAGGAGGTGGGCAGTAGGGTGGACATTTTATTTTTAGAGGAACATTCTTGATTTTCAGTGTCTATTCTGGGCTGGGGAGGTAGCTTTGCAGATAAAGTTCTTACCTGACAAGCATGGAGATCAGAACTCAGATCCGCAGAACCCACTTAGAAGCCAGGTGGTGCATCAGCCTACCTATAGTCCAGCCTTGGGAGGCAAACTGGACAGATGGTACTCCCGCAAAGCCTGGAGCACAGGCAGGGACCCTGACTCAGCAAAAAGTGGAGAAAAGTCTAAGAATCCAGCTTCACATTAGCCACTGCCTTCCACACACACACACTTGCAAAGAGTGCACATGCACGTCTCACACATAAAAGTCAGTTCTTGTCTTTACTATTTTTAAGGACTGTCTTTACAGTGTATCCAGTTTTAATTATTTCTGATTGGCGATACAGTAACAGAATAGGGAAGCAGTTGCTTTGGGTGTTTGGTTCACTGTTCCAGTTGTCAATCACTATATACTACAGACTGGTAAATAAACAACAATAATAATAAAAATAACAAATAATTAATCATTAGTAAAATTTTAAGTACTCATTGCTTTCCAGATAACTAAGTGCATACCACTGTGTTAAAGCCTTCATGTAACCAAAAGTATTGTTAAAATGGGTCATCTGAGTCTCAGCATAGGGTTGCTTCTACGCTTGAGTTTTCTTCTGTTTCTTTTTATTTCCCACTTACTAAGCCATGGTCAGTAGAGGGACGCGGCTGCTGGGAGAGAGTGAGTGACCTTCGTGACTGCCTCTCCACGGCACTGTATCGGTTGCATCCTTACTCAGGAGGCCTCAAGGGCTTTTGCAATTCTCTTTTTGTTCGTTTGTGATCCTTTTTTTGTTTGTTTTTTCGAGACAGGGTTTTTCTGTATAATTCTGCCTGTCCTGGAACTCGCTCCGTAAACCAGGCTGACCTCAAACTCAGAAATTCGCCTGCCTCTGCCTCCTGAGTGCCAGAATTAAAGGCGGGTGCAGCACTACCGCCTGGCTAAGTGATTCTCAATACACACCAGATGTGTATGAGATAAGACATGGCGAAGGAATAGCTGTCACTGTATTGTGAAATGCTAACTGCTCTTCTAGCTCACTGAAAAGCCTACTGGATGCATAGAACAGACCTTCTGAGCACCTGTTCACTTAGCACTTATATTTGTGTTTTTATGTGTCTGAACCTGGATTACTATTTTGTCTTAAATTCTCTGGCTCAAGCAGTCCTTCTCCTGCAGCCTTCAGAGTAAAGGGGAAAAAAATTAGGATTTAAAAAAATACTGCCTAGAAACAAAACATGAGAGTTTGCTCAGAAATGTTTAAGTGGAATGACACAGTGATTCAGCACCCCCCCGCTGGGCGTGAGTCCTGTGGGAATGAAGCCAGTGCTAAACCCATACTCGTGTTCTCATGTACCCTGCAGCAGTAATCACAATAGTGGTGAACCTTAGTGAATATGAAATGCATGGTGCACATAAACATAATGGGATGCTTTGTAGTCTGAAAACAAGTGCTGGTCTGTGGCTTAGGTCTGAAGATGTGAGCTCCATCCTGGGACCCACATGGTGGAAGGTGAGAACCTGTTCACACTTGTCTTCTGACCTCTACATGCAAGCATGGCACATGGATGCCTTCCCACACACCTACAGAAAATAAGTCAAAATATAATTTAAAACATTTTTAAATCAGGAGGTTATTATATTTAGTAAGCCAGGCTCAGGAAGAAATTACACCATGTTCTCATTTTAACATAGAGCCTTAAAGAACACAGAATACACCCATGGTGAGCCCTGGTCAGTGGAGTAGCAGTCAGACTGGAGAGATTTGGGGTGAACTTACAAAGTCTCAATTAGCTGTGTTGAAGGTGATACTGGAAAGTGATTGTAATTACGTAGCTGAAAATAAGCGTTCTCCTAACAAAGTATGCTTGAACAAATCATTCTGCATTGTCTATAAACCATATATGTATGATTTTTATTTGCCAATAATATTAATTCTTGAAAAAATGAGCTAAGATTTAAATAGAATGTTATATAATGGTATAATTGAAGCTTTTAGTGCACATAAACTTACCATTTTAGGAATATAATTTATATATAAGTGGTTGTTAAAACTCTACTCTTGTGTAAAATTAAAATGTTACATTCAAATTTGCCTATTATGTTGATTATTTCAAGCAGATTCTACATAAGAAACTGGAAGAGTAGTGAAGAACAAATGAACTCTGTGATCTTGCTGTGTCCCTGACCACTCCTGAAAGGGCAGGATGCTTGTTGGAGAAGTGTTTGTATGGTATTTTAAACCACAGTGTAACTGTTTTTCAGTATCTCTGCGAGTGTCAGTTTGACGACAATCTTAAATTCAAGAACATAATTAATGAGGAGGATGCTGAAACTATGCGTCTCCAGCCAATTGGGCGGGATAAAGATGGCCTCATGTACTGGTACCAGTTGGATCAAGACCACAATGTCAGAATGTACATAGAAGAACAAGATGATCAAGACGGCTCTTCTTGGAAATGCATTGTCAGGTACAGCATCTTTACTTCTTCTCTATTGGAATGTGATCTGTGAGTCCAGAGCGGTCTTCTTCTTAAGGAGAATTGACAAATGAATTTAAACAGCGTATCATTCCATATCAGGACATATGCTTTTGCTCAAAATGTTATAATCTGAATGTTAATGAATAAAGTATATGCATGGAAGAAAATATTCTTTGCTATGAATGTAAGAAAAGCATTGTTTAGTTCTCTGAGTATCTCAGTCTGAACAGTTTATCTGCCGTCTCTTTCTTGCAGTTCTGAAGTGTTTGCTTTTGTTCTATAGCCTTACATTTTTATTTCTCATTTGAAATCTTACATCTTGAAATGTTTCGTCTTTTGTTTTTTTAAGTAGGTGAGTGATGTCGAACCTTTGCAGATTATGTTTGTGTTTTTAATTTTCTATCTTGCAGTTTCATCATTTATCAATATTTCACTAGTAGCCACATTAGTAATTTTAGAAATGTTACTGATTGATAAGGTAGGAAAGGCTCATAAATGCCTAACTGCTGGCTGTAAGGAGCTGCAGGACGTGAGCCTTCCCTGTTTTTGTTCTTAGCATGTTTTCATTAGTCATTACTAATCCATTCACAACATTCATTTTCTTAGTAAAGTACAGCTTTCATTCTAAAGAGTAAGTGTGCGTTGAGGGAATTCACAGGTGTTATTAGCAGTTACTGCACGGTTCTTTTTTTCTAGGTTCCTCAACGAAAGTAAGCGACAAACTCCTAAGACATAATGCATTCACGGTTGTTCTCTGAATGTAGACTTCATGTGTTCTGCTGCAAGGTGTACTTCTCTCCAGATAGTGTTGCATACTCAGAAAAAATATTCTCTCCTGCTTTGTATATCAAAAAATATATTGCCAGGCGGTGGTGGCACACGCCTTTAATCCCAGCACTCGTAAGGCAGAGGAAGACAGATTTCTGTGAGTTTGAGGTTTGAGGCCTGCCTTCCAGGACAGGCACCAAAAACGACAGAGAAACCTTGTCTTGAAAATCCAAAAAAAGAAAAAAAAAAGGAGAGAAAAAAAGTACAGCACAGAAAAGTAATCATGTTTACTGTTCAGTTAAAACAATTTCTCATGCACACTGTTCAGTGTGTCCATGATGTGGTTATTTTAGTTAATATGTGTATTTACGGATCCATCTTTTACCACATATAGGCATATTCCCAACAGTTATGTTCCTGTGCTTCATTAACTTTTGCATATGCTTCTGTGCATTGGTGTGCATGTATGTTGTATGTGTGTGAGCACACCTTGTACATTAATTCAATTGCCTTCCACCTTGTTCATTAAGGCTGGACTCTCAGTTGAAGTCAGAGCTCTCCAGTATGGCTAGTATGGCTAGCCAGCTTGCTTCAGGGATCGCCTATCTCTGTTTCCTGAGTCTGGGATTCCAGGTTCTGGGATGCCATGCCCACTAAGCATTTCTGTGGATTCTGGCTGTGAAAACTCTGGTCCTCATTTTTTCCTGGCAAGCACTTTACCCACTGAACCATCTTCCCAGCCTTATGTTATGATAATGCTGCCTCCCTCCAAGCTGTTACGAGAACTATATGAAAGACTACACTGGGACCATATTGTATGCTCGGTGAACATTTGCTCTTTTCTTCCCCTTTTTAAAAAAAAGAATATGTCACATTAAAAATAAATTTCTTTATTATTGTATGTGTATGCGTGTGACACATGCATGTGCCACAGCTTACGTGTGGAGGTCAGAGGACAACGTTGGGGAGTTGGTTCTCTCTAGGGATTGAACTCTGGTCCTCAGGCTTGCGCTGCACACAGTGGACCACAGACCCTTGCTCTTCCTTCAACTTCCTAACCCCAGACGTGACACTGGTGTTTTTGTTAAAGAAGTACTTATCAGCTGATGGTTAAAATTCTCGTAGTGTTTCTCGCCCCTTTCAGCCATAACTAACTTCATTTCTAGTTGCTTCTGGCTGCAGAAAACAAGGACCAGCTGCTGGGGATGTGGCAGTTCCTTGAGTGCTTCTTCAGATACTCAGTCTTGCATTCAGTCCTGGGGGACACTTTCTTATTAGCCTAGGTGGAAACTGGAGGGTCAGAAATTCAGGGTTATCCTTGGCTACACCGCATATTTAAAGCGAGCCTGGGCTACGACTTTGTCTCGAAAAAGAATATGAAAATCACACAGAACCAAAACATCAAAACCCAAAACTAAACCAAAATTACCTTTTCATGTGTTAGTCTGTATTTCTGGTAAACATGGAATAATGTGTCTACAGTCTGTGTACAGAAGGAGCGCCCATGAAGAATCCCTGAGCAGTTTTCTCGTGTTGACTGCAGGGATTTGTTTAGTGAAGTTGTAGCAGGTTGTTTTTAGCCTTTATGAATGAATGAAATTGATGTTGGCTAGCCTTGAACTCACTGGGACTGTCTGCTGCCTCCTGAGTGATGAGATTAAGAAGGCATGTGCCGCCAGTCCCACGTGTGTTATTAATCATTGTGTTCAGGAGCTCTGACCACACAAATGTAGACATGTTTGGACCATTTAGAAACACTGACTTTAGTTACTAATGTCTGCTAATCCAGGTTTAGACACGTGGTGAACATAGGTTTCTTTACTTCACTAGGCGGACTTGGTGGGCACCATACTAAAAAAATTCAGAATATGAGGGCAGTGAGTAGCTTCACTAGGATTCCTAGCTGGGTTCTATGCATCTGTGAAGTCTCATATGTTGTATAGAGTGTATCTTTTGGATAACATTGGTTTTCTTTAGTTTTTGTTTTTTCCAGACAGGGTTTTTCTGTGTTGCCGTGGCTGTCCTGGACCTCACTCTATAGATCATCTGGCCTTGAACTCTTAGAGATTTACCTACCTTTGCCTCCCTAGTGCTAGGATTAAAGGCATGTACTGCCACTACCTGGCTTCCTCAGATTCTTAATGTCAATGAGATGCTTGTGACGTGGTGTTTTAACCAGCTTTTAACTTAGTGACTCGCTGGAGCTACTGTTGGTAAAGGTTATGAACTGTCTTGTCTCCTAAGTCTTTCATATTATGAACATTAAATATGAAAGTGTATTTTAGTTTTTTCAAAAAGTTACCACTTTGGCCATGTGTGGTGTAGCACACACCTTTAATCCCAGCAGAGACAGGCAGATCTTTATGAGTTTGACACCAGCCTGATTTACATAGTGAGTGGAAGGACCCCTAGGGCTCTGGACAGAGTCCCTATCTCAAGACAGGAGATGAGTGCTTGCCTACCTCACGGGAGGCTTTGGATTTGATACCCAGCACATTCTCCCTAAAAATGTATTACTGGGTGACTGGGGGTATAGTTTACTGAAGGCTACTTGCATAGCAGGTGTGAAGCCTTCAGTTCAACCACCACTAACAACTTGCACTAACCACATAATATGTATAATTAATATATATTGGTTCACACAATAATGTGAGGTGTACTCTTGATCCTGGTCATACCTGGAATGTAGTTAAGTTCTGATCTCAAACCTGAAGAGAAAAATACTTAGCACAATAAGCTCATTGTGGGAAGAACACTAATTGATTAGGGAAAATATTAATTGAAAGATGTAAAGTATTGATGCAGAATAAGATGTCTCTCTTTTTTCCTTCCTTCCTTCCTTCCTTCCTTTGTTTTTTATTTTTTTATTTTTTTGGTTTTCCGAGACAGAGTTTCTCTAGCTTTGGAGCCTGTCCCGGAAATAGTTCTTGTAGACCAGGCTGGTCTCAAACTCACAGAGATCTGCCTGCCTCTGCCTCCCGAGTAAGTGCTGGGATTAAAGGCGTGCGCCACCACTGCCCAGCAAGATGTCTCTCTTTAAACATATAAAAGATTAATTGGGGGAGATCTGTGGTGGATTGAAAAGGCTGAGATCACGGTGCTGAGCTGAGTTCTGGAGAAACAAGAGCACTTACTTTTACATTAGAGAGAAGTGACTGTGTGTGGCTGATAGGTGCTATCAGGGTTTTCTAACTAAACCTGGCTTATGCAAAGTGAGTCTTAAAAGAGGCGCTGATCTTAGGGACTCGGCCATGAGGGAAAGCAAGCAGAGTACAATTTTGGCTTTTTTGTTTCTTAGGCCACACTTAGGTTTTTTCTTAACTAGAGGAAATGAAAGGCTAGTTTCCTTTACTTGAACCAGATTCTTTAAAGTAGTACTTTTCTCTTGCTGTTGTTTGAATAACTTTTGTTTTGTTTTTTGAGACAGAATTTCTCTGTGGGACGGTTCTGGCTGTCCTGGAACTCACTCTTGTAGACCAGACTGACCTCAAACTCAGAGATCCACCTTGCTCACTATCCCCCCCCCCCCCCCCCCCCCGAGACAGGGTTTCCCTGTGGCTTTGGAGCCTGTCCTGGAACTAGCTCTGTAGACCAAGCTGGTCTCGAACTCACAGACATCCACCTACCTCTGCCTCCCGAGTGCTGGGATTAAAGGCGTGCGCCACCATTTCCCGGCTTGCTCACTGGTTTTGAAGTTCTTTTTTGTAATCTAAAATTACCGCTGAACCTGAAAGGCCCCCAGATACCCTGTGAGCAGCCGAAGGTTATGTTGCTGTGAAGCTGGGCGTTGGTGTACAGTACCATCCAGAAACTGTGGCATTGGGATGAGAGAGCCCAAGAGTATAAGGATGACTTTCCAAAACTGTGCCAAGAAATGGTGATGAGAAGTTACAGGAGAGAGCAGACAAATGATGGTCTTCCTCGTATAGAAAGGGCCCATCCCTCAGAGTGCCCCTGCCACTTAGTGCTGTGCGACCCCGTAACTAAGGGAAGCTCAGGACTGGTGAGAGTTGACGGGCTGACTACAGAAACACAAGGAAAGACTAAGAATTAGTGTCTGAAGATTTGAGTTGACTGAACATCTGATCATGAGCTATCGGAGTTTCTTGGCGGACCTGTCCCATGCCTTGCTGTTGCTGATTCCGTGGGACAAGTCTCCCTGCTGGGCAGTCTGTGCTTCTGTAGCACATGCTCAGAGTGTGACTCAGTACTGGCTGCTATGGATTCCCTCTACTCTGGTTCTAACAAAAGGCAAGGGTTACTACAGACATCTCTTCTCATTTGTTTTAAAAAGAATTTTCTTCACAGTAGCTCACGCTCATATGACAAACCTGGACTAGATGATGACCACAAAATTTTAGTGTTCATTGACAATTCTGCTTATTCTAGTTCAAATTCTCCAAAAAAACCCTTCCCTCTTGTCATGCCCTTGTCCTCTAAGTGGAACTTCATAGTTCCGTCCTTAGCTGAAGAATAGTACTTTTCTTTTTAAGCCACATTAACAGCAGCTAACAGAATCGTGAGTGTGCAGAATGTCTTCAAAAGGGGTTTCTCCTTCCTTCCTTCCTTCCTTCCTTTTTTCTTTTCTTTTCCCTCTCTCTGTCTTTGTCTCTGTCTCCCTCTCTCGACAGGGTTTCTCTTTGGCTGTCCTGGAACTAGCTCTGTAGACCAGGCTGGCCTCAACCTCGCAGACATCTGCTTCCCTCAGCCTCCCAAGTGCTGGGATTAAAAGTATGTGCTGCTACTGCCTGGCCAAAACAAACTCAGGGCATGCCTTAAATTCTAGCACTTTAAAGATAGAGGCAGAAAGATTAGAAGTTCAGGGATATCCTGGGCTTCATAGAGTTTAAGGCCAACCTGGATCCAAGAGACTCTGTCGCCAAGAAGTAATGGAGGAAGAGACTTTGTATAACTTCCATGCTGTTACAGCACGTGGAACACAGCAATTAAAGACATCCTTGTGCTGACTCGGTGCAGGTTCTGCTCTCCAGGTGTATGGAGTGGTGGTGATGCTCAGCATGGGGATTCTGCTTATCAAGGAAAATACCTTGAAAAAGTGCTCAAATTATCTCATGCATATGATGTGTTTTGCCTGCGTATATGTCTGTGCACCACATTTGTGCCTGGTGTGAAACGAAGCCAAAAGGAAGTATCAAATTTCCTGAAGCTAGAGTTACATGTGGTTGTGAGCCATCGTGTGGGTGTGTTGGAAATCTCACTGGGTTCCCAGAAGAGCAGCCAGTGCTCTTAACCACGGATTCTGCTCCAGCTCCTCTCCATCAGAGCTTCCTTCTTATACCTGACAAATCAAGCAGGAAACAGTGTGAGGCTCTTATAGTAAGCTGGAATAAATAGATAACAATTTTTTAAACATCAACACTGAATTTCCAGTTATTTATTCATTGGCCCCTGATGAAATAAACTGTGAACCACCGTGACATTGGCAATGGTGGTGGAGAAGATGATGTTAGTAACCACAGAAAAAATATTTGCACATGGTAGGGGGCTTAGAGCCATATGCACTCATAACAAAAGAAATGTCCATTGAAAAATCAGATTTCTAAGATGAAACAATCATGGAAGAAACTTTGCGTGTGTGAATTTGCATTGGTGGGTGCTTAGTGAGTGTTTGCGTAGAAGGGCAGGGGACAGCACCCTCGGCTGTTGATCCTCCAGTGCTAGTGCTGTCTCCTTAGTTTTTAAAAGAATTTGTTACTAGCCTGGAGCTAGGTTCTATGACCAGCAAGCCCCAGGAAGACACACATATATTTCCTCTCTTGCTCTAGGGTTATAAGTGTGTACCACCATACCCAAACCTACTGACATTGATGGAACAGAACTCAGTCCTTATGCTTGTAAGGCAAGCACATCACTGAATTATCTCAGCAGCACTTGGGAAATTTTGGGAGGAATTGGGTTAACGTATGTTTTCATTGGCATCCTCCTCAGTTTCTGGGCCTGTGGTAAGAGAGCATCATGGTGGTATGAACACGCCATAGAGTGTTGTCTGAGGTGTCTATCCTGCCTGGTTCCTGCAGTCATTAAGTCCCAAAGAAATCACACAGAGGTCTATATTAGTTATAAACTGATTGGCCCATTAGGTCAGGTTTCTTATTAACTCTTATAACTTATATTAGCCCATTATTCTCGTCTATGTTATCCACGTAGCTCACTACCTTTTTCGGCAAGGCATTCACATCTTGCTTGCTCTGTTTGGATCACGACTGCAGAATAAGCTTTCCTCTTCCCAGGGTTCTCCTGTTCTCATTGCGCCGCCTCTACTTCCTGCCTGGTTGTCCCACCTCTACTTCCTGCCTGGCTACTGGCCAATCAATGTTTTATTAAAATACAGTTGACAAGGTACAGACCATTGTCCCACAGTAGAGGCCGTTTCTCTCATTCTGGACAGCATGTGTAGAGGGGCTACAGGAAGGTACCAGAGCAGGCTACACAATGCTCCACTGCATACTCTGAGTGACCAGCTGCCTGCTTCCTGCCACCTCCCAGTAATGCCATCGCAGTAGGACTTTAAGAAAAAATTAACCCAGAGATTAGATCATAACCAAATGCCCACCAATACTTGGATCTGTGGGAACATTTCAACAGCCATCCAGCAGAATATCTTCTTATCACTAAGGAAGGGACTCATTTCTGGATCCCTCAGTTGCTCAAGATTTTCCTTGTCGCCTTAAACAAAGAAAGCCCAGCCATATGTGACAGCACACGCTAGCACTGGGGACAGTGACATAGAAGGATTGAGAGCTCGAGATCAGTGTGAGCTGCACATTGGGACCCTGGCTCAGATGTGTTCAGATGGGAACAAACTGTGCAGAGGTCTCTTACCATTTTTGGTCCGTAATGGCTGAGCCATCCCTTCAGCTCTGTTGGCCACAGAGCAGCACCACAGGTAGAGATTGAAACCTGCCATGGGTTGCTATTAAGTGGCTGATATTGGCACTCTGGAGTCCTCTTCTGCCGCCCGTGTCCCTGAACAGTCTCTGGAATATAAGAAAATAATGATTTATCAGTAGCATATAAACTCAGACAAGTATAATGTTGATGTTTAACACCTGTAGGTTGCCCACATGGTAGAGATGGTAATGTCTTTACTTCCTGCTGGCACAATACACACTGTATTTAATACGATAAATTACTGAAAATACTGTGTAAAGTTACCTACAGATTATATTTCTAGGGTTTGCATGATACAGAGTCTGGGGGGTTGGCTGAGTGGGTGAGTGCTTCCTGCCCATGTGTGAGGACTGGAGTTCAGATTCCCAGCATCCATGCAGGAGCTGGACCAGTGGTCGGTGTCCGTAACCCCACCACTGGTGTGGGGATGGGGCACGGGGCAGAGATAGATGAATCCCTGGACCTATATAGAAGATGGCATGGAAGGTGACTAAGGAGAAAACCCAACATACCACACAGAAAGTGAATTGTCAAAAGAGCCACGAGCAAGGTTCACACTGCTTCCTTAAAGATTATAGAATCCCTGAGGGTCCGCACTCTGACTCGCTTAATGTTGTAGTGTGGTTGTTCTCATCCAGTGTCGTGTGTTGCCGTTCTAGTCAGTAAGGAAAATGTAATTTCCGTATGATGAAAATACATTTTAATGAATGTTCTTTTCCAGATACTTAGCTTTAGAGTCTGGGTTTTGTTAGGACTGCTCCTGGGCCTTTGATGTTCTTAACTGTGCTGTTTTCCCACCCCATTTTAATGTCCAGTAGGTGTTGTTCACAATTCACTAGACTCAGAAAGATTTTTATGCTGTTTTATTTTCTCCCTTGTTTAGAAATCGAAACGAGTTGGCTGAGACTCTTGCACTCCTGAAAGCACAAATTGATCCTGTACTATTGAAAACCTCTAGCCAACAGGAAGACTCTTCCCGGGAAAGTCCCACTCTAGAGGATGAGGAGACTAAAAAAGAGGAAGAAACACCTAAACAAGGTTTTTTTTGTGTGTTTTCTTTTGCTTTCTTTTGTAATCTCTTCTATTTTCTGCTCCTCCACCAAGCTGTGTGCTCCCGAATTTTACCTCAGTTTTTCCAATTGAGAGCCATCCTGTAAAAGACTTTATTTCAAAAGAGGGAGAAAAAGAAATGTTTGCTCTTTCGGACATTTAAGAAATATAAATGAAATATGTTCAAATCACTAACGCGGTGTCTTACTGATTTGAGAATCTTGATAGGTGTGGTGCCGCTCACCTGTGCGCTACACACTTGGGAGGCAGAGGCAGGAAGTGCTGAGTTCTGAGGTGGCCTGAACCAAAATGAATGCTAAGATGTTTATTGAACTGGTTGGTCAGAGTGAGGAAAGCTGTATCAGAGGCTTGACAGTTTTAATCATTTTTAGGTTTATAGGGTCTGGGGCATTCAGATCCTACATTTATTGACATCGTGGTCCTCGCTCACTAGATGTCTGACCACGTTGAACATTGCGTCCCTGTGCTCTCTGTCTGCAGCCCTGGATTCTGCTTTCTGTCTTTATGGATTTGATTACTGGTCCCCTTGTTTCGCTTCATGTGCTGTCTTCAGGCGTCCACGTTAGTACACGCGTCATGGTAATAGTTCACTGTGTATGCCCCACGTTTTGTTCGTCCTTCCTCCTTCAGGCTGTTGTGAATAACTCTGCTGTGGACGTTCTAATACAGATCCCTCTGAGCTTGTACATGAGCTGCATGCCCACAAGTGAAACTGATGATCATACCGCTTCATTTTTGGACGCTCGCCGTACTATTTTCATTTTCTTTTCTTCTTGAGATAGGGTCTCACTGTGTTGCTCTGGCCGCCCTGGAACTCACTCTGGAGATCAGGCTGGCCTCAAACCCACAGAGATCCACCTGCCTCTGCTTCCTCAGTGCTGGGATGAAAAGTGTGCGTCCCTACTGCCCGACTTTAGTTGTGTTTTTATTGTTAATGCTGGGGAAACATTTGCGTGCCCCGTCGTGTGTTCTTCCATGTGTTTTTTCTTTTCTTTGATGATTTGGAGAAACTATCCATAAAATAAATCCCTATATATAGGAAACATTGCTTGAAAACAGACAATTAAACGTCCTTATAGTGAAGTGCTATTTCTGTAGTGAAATTCTACTTATCATGCTCATTTGACCATTGTTTCTATGACTTTGAGTTCTGTTGGTAGTTTCACTAGTTTGCTGCGTTTTCACAGATAGCAGATACTTGGGCTGCTTTGTTAAGGTGTAATAATTTTGAAGTACACCTTTGTATTCTAGGGGGTTTGTTGTTTTGCTTCTTTTAGCAGCTCGCTCTTAAGCATTAGTTCTGGTTGTTCACTTTGGTCATCCGTCCATTCCATGTATTTGTTTATTTCCACCCACAATAAGAAAATCAAAGGGGTTGGACATAGGCGGCACACACTTTTAGTCTGGGCACTCAGCAGGGGGATTGAGGCCAGCTGGGACTACATACTGAGACCTTGTCTCAAAAAATAAAAAGATCCCTGAGGGGGCTGGAAAGATGGCTCAGTGGTTAAGAGCACTGACTGGTCTTCCAGAGGACCTGGTTCAGTTCCCAACACCCACATTACAGCAGCTCACATCTTTACGCCAATACACAGTAAAAATAATAATAATAATAATAATAATAATAATAATAATAATAATAAATGAAACAAATGACTCATTCTTTCAAAAAAGTTAAAGGAGATGGCTGGACACAGTGGCTAACAGCCGTCTGTAACTTTAGTTCCGAGATGTGTAGTGTGCTATTCCAACCTGAGGACTCTGGGCATGCACATGGTCCACAGATATATATGCAGACGAAACACCCATGCACAAAAAATAAAAGCCACAAAAATTATGGGTGGGAGCAAAGTAGAATTTTTTTTTTTCTGTGTAGCGCTGGCTGTCCTGGTACTCACTCTAGCCGCCACAATGGCCTCTCCCAGAGATCCGCCTGTCTCTGCCTCCCAGTGCTAGGACCACACCCAGCTGCAAAATAAAAATTAACAGGAGTAGGAGGCTTTAAATTTGATTTCTTTAAAAAACATTTTAATTTATGAGGCTGGAGAGTTGGATCAGCAGTTAGGAGTACTTGATGCTCTTCCAGAGGACCCATAGTAGATTCACAGCAGCTGTGTTGGGTCACTGGTGCTCGCGTGCACACACCTTCTGCCCCCGCCCCCCCCCAACCCCACACAAGCTTACAAAATCAATTGTAAAGGTTTTTATTCTCGCGGGAAGGACGGGGTGCCACTTTGTGAATATGGAGGTCGAACGACAGCTCTGAGGAGTTGTCTCTCTACCTTTACACAGTTGTGGGGGTTTTGAACTTGGGTCACTAGACCTGCACAGCAATGTTCTTACCTGCTGAGCCTTTATGCTGGATAATTAGTTGTGTAGTTTAAAATTCAAAGCAAATTATTAGTTTGGTAAAGTTTTTTTTTAATTTTATTAGTGTGTGGGTGTGCACATCACTTTTCTCTGCCGAGCTCTTGCCGACCTTTCCTAGTGTACAATTCAAAAATTCCCCTGTTGGGCTCAGAGCAGAGTGGGGAAGTGATCTACAGGAGCGCTCGCTGTCCCCTTGAGGACATTGCTGGTACTGTATTGACTGTAACTATTGATGCCCTTTTGCTAAGAACCCATGTGGTGCTGGCCCACTTGTCCGAGTTCTACATGGGAGGGCAAGGCGTGTAGACGCTGTTTCTCCTTCCTTCCAGACAGCCGTTCCCAAGCACTACTCAGCACCTGCTGCTGTGGTGCATCCTAGCAAAAAGGAAACGGCTCATGGGAGAGAACTCTCTGGAGGGAGCAGAGGAGCAGGATATTGGAGTTCTGGTCTCTGCTCTTTCATGGCTCCTAAGTAGAAGCGCAGTGGGGAGTACCCGAGCTTAGGCGAGATTCCAGGATCAGCATCGTGCACTGCAATAAACAAAGACAGAATCAACAGAACTTTTCTGCGTGTCTCGTCCCGACAACAGAATGTTTATTTTTAAAGGCTTCTCCTTTTCTCCTTTCTGAAATGAGGTCTCTTACTGTATTATCCCAACTAGCTTAACTCTTGGACTCGGGTTGCTCCCAAGAAAATGTTTCTTATTCATTTGTTTTTATAAATATTGGGCATCTTCTATGTACGAATCATAGTTTCTTGCAAGGAAGCCCCATAAATCAATCACACTGAAACCTACACTATAGTGGATAAAATAACTGATTGTTTGTCTTTTACTCGAGCCTCTTTTGTTCTAAAATGAATTGTATAATACTGAATTGCATAATCTGCAGCATAAACTTTATTAGTTAAACATTGCTGTAAGTTTTCAGGGACTCAAGTGAGTATCAGAATTGTAGGTAATGCTGCAACTTACGTATGTTACGTAAAGTTTTTCCATACAGGTCAGTTTTAATTTATAGATTATGGACAGTGAAGAGGTAAGAAGCAGTAAGAGAGAACCCTGGAGCAATATGCTGAAGTGAGTCACGTGAATATAACCTCGGCTTGCTCACCCCACTCCTGCAGGACCTTTTTCCTTTAGGATTGTCCTTGAATTAGGTAGCTGAGGCCCCAGATAGGAAAACCACAGATAAGGGGAGTTTACTAGATATAATTACTTCATTTTTCTAGGGCTTTCCTTAGGTTACCTAGTCTGTTTTGGTCAACTCAGTATTCTAGCTGAGACTGTGTGTTCAGAGGTCAGTGCTGTTTCTCCACTTAACTCCCGTTGAGCTGGAGTGGCTGCCGAGCAAGCACCAGTGGCACTTTGGGATCTGCCACTCCAGCTTGGGCTGAGGGCAGACGCGACAGGGCCCGGGTTTTCCATGGCTGCTGGGTGTGGGAAACTTTACCTAGACTGAGCCCTCTCTTCCCAGCTGTTCTGTGCCTGGCGATGCAGCGACTGTGATGGGACCCTGGGTGAGAGGAGAGAAATGTAGCTTTTAGTTGGTCACTTTACCCTCTTGGGTGTCAGCACACATTGCTGTGGACTTGGTAGAAGTGTGAGCAGCCTTCAGCAGCGAGTGATACAGTTGCAGTAAGAAGGCAGGGCATGACAAGGTTTTAAAAGTGTGGTTGCAATTTGGAAATTAGGCAAAAAAGAGGAGATGGTGGATCAGCACTAGAGAGAATTTTGAAGCCATTCTTATCAGTCAAGTAGATCTTTAATAGTTCATCAAATGGCCATCCTTTAGACTTGCCCTCAGCAGGATAATGCATCATTTCTGTTTCGTGGGTGTTAAGGAGAAGCACATTACTATAAGCTTGTGCACAAACCCAAAAATGACAGAAAATAGCTTTGAAAATTTACCAGCAACTGAATACTTACATAATCAGAATTGTATTTGACAAATGCTCAATTTTCTTAAGGGTGCTGTCCGTAAGCTCCCCGCCACCCTCGGCCCAGCATCTCCTGCTGCCGCCTGTGTCTTTAGGTCTCACCTTCACCTTTTCCTGTTCCTGGCCTAATCGTGCAGGCCCTGCCTCCGATGCTGTGAAAGGCCTGATTGTACTCTGAAGTGAGCCTTTTGATCCCCTTTCAATTGGCCACTTGTATTGGGGCCATGCACAGCACATGCTTTTAGCTGCCTAATGGCTGAACTTTAAATTCCAAATGATGGTGGACAGAAAGCTAAGGTTCTGGTCCTGTTCAAGTTGTTCAGAGTGCAGTCCATGTGTTTAGGTGGTGTACTTCTGGGAGGTTACAGTGCCTATAAAGAAAACAGTACCACTTAGTGCCCATTTTACTCTCCGTTATATACAGTGTTCTAATTTGGAAGGCACAAAAAAAATGCTAGCCTTGAGCTTGCAATCCTCCTGCCTCATCCTCCCAAGTAGCTGGTATTTTATAGGCCTGCACCTGACTTTAGACCATCATATTCACAGCAGCAACGAGATACCATAGTCATGCTTGAATAGCACGACCTTAGCATGGAGTAAGCCTCCATAATGCATGAGGGTAATCATGGCACCCTAGGCAACAACCAAATCTGGCCTGCCACCTGTTATACTGATTAATGAGTTTGTAAATTTTTGAAACTAGGCAGAGTGGTGTGCATTGATAATCCTAGCACTTGGGAAACTGAAGCAGGGAGTTTGTTCTGTATAGTGAGCTCCAAGCCCTCCTAGATTACATGGTAGAACTATCACAAAACAGAAGGGAACAATCTGTTTGTTGTCTGTGCCTAGGTCTCAGAATACTCCTGGGTCTTTCCTAAGCAACTCCATGGCAGAGGTCACAGATGTGGATCACTGCCCAGCTGTTAGTTCATTTTGGTTTTGTTGTTGTTGTTCTTTGAGGCAGGGTTTCTCTATGTAACTGTCCTGAAGCTGGAATTACAGGTGGCTGGTTGTTGTCTGCTGTGTGGATCCTGGAAGTCAAACCCTGATTCTCTAGAAGAGCAGCCAGTTTAACTGCTGAACCATCATTCCAGTTTTACCCATCTCTACTAACCCCTCTTTGTGTTGAAATTACATTTATTGTGCGCGTGTGCACGCATATACACACTGTTCAGATATGGAGATCAGAGAACAGCTTGCAAGAGGTGGTTCTCTTTACCGTGTGAGTTTTGGGGTTTGAACAAGGTCATCGAGTGCCTTTGCCTACTGAGTGATCTCACCGCCCAGTAGTGTGCCTGTTTATGTCATCTAGATGAATGCAAAGTTAGTTAAATACATGAATACTAGATCTGGAGGGATGCCTTTGAGCAGGTCCAATTTGTATTGTTCTCCTGTGATTTGTTTTTAAGTCCCAATTGTCCATCTTGAAAAATGTTCAACATACTTTGTTTATTTGATGTGTAAAATGAGACACTTCCAAGTTAACGTAGTAACAATGTAGGGCTAATTGTTACCGTTTAATTACAGGTTAGTATTAATAGGAATGGTCTCTCAGTATGTGTATATGGGGTTTAGTACTGATAACATCATATTGAAGGAAATTCCTTGATCTTGAACAAACGAGTGGTCACCTTAAATTGAGTTCCTTCTAACTTGATTGTAAAGGATATTATATATTTATTATAGAAAATTTGAGGACAAAGCAAAACAATAATAATTAATAGTTATACTAAAATAAATTAGGTATTTATTATTTTTAAATATTAAAATAAATTAGGTATTTATTATTTTTAAATATTAAAATCTCAAGGTCCAAATCAGGAGCAGAAGGAGAGAGAGCACGAGCAAGGAACTCAGTACCGCGAGGGGTGCACCCACACACTGAGACAATGGGGATGTTCTATCGGGAACTCACCAAGGCCAGCTGGCCTGGGTCTGAAAAAGCCTGGGATAAAACCTGACTCGCTGAACATAGCGAACAATGAGGAATACTGAGAACTCAAGAACAATGGCAATGGGTTTTTGATCCTACTGTACGTACTGGCTTTGTGGGAGCCTAGGCAGTTTGGATGCTCACCTTACTAGACCTGGATGGAGGTGGGTGGTCCTTGGACTTCCCACAGGGCAGGGAACCCTTATTGCTCTTTGAGCTGACGAGGGAGGGGGACTTGATTGGAGGAGGGGGAGGGAAATGGGAGGCGGTGGCGGGGAAGAGACAGAAATCTTAAATAAATAAATAAATAAGAAAGAATATTAAAATAAATTAGGTATTTAGTAATTACCCCATAACCAAAAGGAAAATCACTGTTGCTATTATGATTTAGTTCTTTCTGGTCTTTAGTTTACTTTATTTCTGGACTGGTTGCTGTTGCATTCATTTATTAGAATTATGTGATAAAGAGTTTTATGTCTTATTTTTGTTCTTAACATCCTTTTCTCTTCTGACCATTTTCCAATGTGTTTCTTCCTTCAAGAAGGAAGTTGTGGATGTAAAGCAGAGAGTTTGGTGCTGGGTGGTTTCCCTTTTACACCGTCGGTACAGCCTCATGCACAAGTGCCTTTCACTGCAGCTAGACTACTTTTGAATTGCACGGTTTTTGATAAATTATATAGTTCAGGTAGTTCATTTTTACTTTAAACGGGTATTGACCTTGACTTCACTATGACCTAAACCTGAGGATAACCTTGTACTTGTGATCCTCCTCTGTCTGCATCCCTGACGTGTGTGGTGCTGGGGCTCTGTGCATGCTGCCGACTGAGCTATCCCAGCGTTTTGAACATTTTACCTACTGTGAATTTTTGGTCTGTAGCCCTGTATGTTTTAATAGCGTTCTCTGTTACTTTCAGTATTCTTTAGTAAGTACACTTGAGCACAGCCTCTGAAACCTGTCGGATCTTGCATGGCTCTCACTTTCTCACTTGTTCACGTACACTTTTAAAAGGGCATTGATGGGGGCACAAAAGGTGGCTTGGGAGTAAGAGCAGGCGCTGCTCTTGCAGTGGACCTGAATTTTGTTCCCAGTATCTAGGCCAGGCAGCTCATGACTGCTTATAACTACAGCTTGAGGGATTTGATGCCTTTCCCTCCTTCCATGTTTGCACACACATAAACGGAATTAAAAATAAGAAATAAGTATCTTTTAAATTGTTACTGTTCGTTTGTTAGTTTTACATTTAGGCTACAGTTTGTTGCCATTGCTGACCTAGTTTGTTCAATTAGGTCAGCAGGCGTTTTGCGAGCCCTGTAGGTAAATAATCTATGATTCTGCCTCCGAACAGTTAAGTCTTAGACTAGTTGAACAAATAGATGTGTGGATAAATAATTAGGGTTCTGAGTAGTAAGTGCTGCAAAAAACATACATCTAGCAACATGTAATAAACACAGGACATCATTCTTTATAGAGCAGTACAGAGTTACAGCTTAAGTAGAATGGGTGTTAATTGCACTTGAAAGTTTGAACATTTCGCCAGTAAAATGGTCATTATATCAGCCAACCTTGAGAGCTTACTTAGGCCACTTCTGTAGACCCTCTGTGTGATATTGCACTTGTATAATATGTATACATGATGCATACAGATGGCTGCAGATACGCAGACAGTTTGCAAGTATGAATAAGGACAGTGGTGACGTACTTGCCTGACCTGCCCAGTGCTCTGGGTTCTGTCCCCATAGACCATCAGCGAAAAGTGCTAATGTTTCGGGGACAAAAATGGGATAATATGACCCCAACTTTTGTGGAAAATATGCAGAGATAGATAGATTGATTGATAAGATAGATGGACAGACAACAGATGGAGCTACCTGAAACCATTGTCAGTGATTGCCTGTGACCATCAGGCTCATGGGTATTTTTCTTCTTTTCTTTTCATTTTCCCTCCACAGTGCTCATTGCTTTGATGACCTGAAATACTCAATGACTCACACACAAGACCATTTCTCACTTAATTAAAAACAAGTTGACCTTTTGGGACTATTTCATGAAGCTTTTCTATCTCATCTTTCTGAGATAGCCCTTGAGATGAAATCAATTACTTGAACTGTTTAAACATTTGCATTCCTTCAAGAACACCAAAGCTAAATGTAGAAAGCAGAAACCTGAGTCTGTATTTTATATCTAGAGATTGTGACTCAAAATATCCTATTACAAAAGACTTCAGCTTGAAATTGAAATAAGTATTGTAATTGTCTAAGATGTTTTTAACCTCAGAACTTCCGGTCATGTGAATTCTTTTCTGATTCTAGAGGAATCGAAGGAAAATGGAAAGACGAAAGGTGATGGGCAGCCAGGAGATCCCATCAAGCGCTCTGTGGCCAATGTTCTAGAAGAGACAGCTGTGAAGACGGAAAAGGAGGACGGAAAGGAGCTCGCAAAACTGCCTGTCATTGTAAAGCACGAAAAACCTCTGCCAGAAATAGAGGGGAAAAAGATCATCAGGGAGGAAAGCGATTCCTTCAAGGAAAATGTCAAACCCATTAAGGTAGAAGCAAAGGAATGCAGAGTGGACTCCAGGGATCTCAAGGGCAGCTCGGAGAGACTGGGCACACAGGAGCCCGAGCGAGTAGACTTTGGTGGCAGCATCCGATCTTCTCAGGACGTCCCAGAGAAATCTTCTGAGGAAACAGAGAAGCTTAGAAATGACCAGCAAGCCAAGATACCACTCAAAAAACGTGAAATTAAGTTGAGTGATGGTTTTGACAGACCTCTGTGTAAGTCAGCTACTCCAACAAAAGAAGTTTTGAAAGATGAAATAAAGCAAGAGGAAGAGACTTGTAAACGGCTCTCCGCCACCAGTGCTCTGAGTCACGAAGGGAAACAGCTAGTGAATGGGGAAATTAGCGATGACAAGCTAACTCCAACTCTTAAGTCAGAACAGATGGAGATGCAGCTTTGTGAGACAAAGGAAGATGGTTCTAGCATCCCCTCTAAGGACGGAAATGGTGCTGAGAGCTTCAATTCTGTCCCAGCAAGCTCCAAGATAAGTGAGCTTGAGAAAGAAGTCCCTTCAGGAAATGGTGTAGATAGCTCTGTATCTACCGTAGAGAGCCTCAGTCAGAAAGGAAGGTCAGAGGAGTCTGAGCCTCCGAATGTGGAAATGCCTCTTGAGCCTTTAGAGACAGCGACCGATCTCTCTTTAAAACCCGCGCCATCTGCCACTGAATCCTGCACGGCAAAAGTCGAAGAGAAGGCCCCCAAAAGTAAGAATGAGAACCACACTCCAGGCATAGAATGCCTGGAAAAGGTGGAGAAGGCCAAAAAGACTGTTTCTGATAAAGAAAGGCTGAGTCCAATACCCGAAGAGGCTGTGAGGAGTCCTCGAGAATCAGAAAAGCCAGGTCCTTGTGACGTGGCTGAAACTTCCCTCCCACCCGAGATGACTGGCCCCAAGGAGAAACTGGCCTCAGAAAAAAAAGAATGTCTAGAGAGAGGGTCAAGTGAAGGTCAATCCCTTGACAATTCAAGCCCAGAAATTCTAAAAGAGGATTCTGAGTCCAGAAAGGTAGAAGCGGCTAATCTGGACAACGTCCAGGCCTCTGGTGTGGAGGGTACTTCTGAGACCAGGAAGGTAGAAGCGGCTAGTCTGGATAATGTCCAGGCTTCTGAGACAAAGGGCTCTGCGCAAAAGAACAAATTCAAATATAAGTTAGTTCCTGAAGGAGACAGCACTGCTTCAGAAAACACAGAGATCACCTCTGAAAGGCAGAAGGAAGGCATCAAGTTGACAATTCGGATATCTAGTCGGAAGAAGAAGCCAGATTGTCCCCCACAAATTGTAGACTCTGAAAACAAGGAAGAGAAGGTGGGGAAGGAAGAAGAGAAAACAAGCATGGGGCGTACTTTAAGAAGGTCTCCAAGAATATCTAGACCCACAGCGAAAGTAGCTGAGATCAGAGATCAGAAAGCCGATAAGAAGAAAGGGGAAGGAGAAGATGGAGAAGAAGAAGCAGCTTTGCAGAGAACAGACAAGAAGGATCACTTGAAAAAAGCCGAGAAGGATACAAGTTCTAAAGTGAGCAAGGTAAAACTTCCAAGTTTTCAGGATAGAAAATTTCAAAAGACTTTATTAGCCTCTGTTTGATGTTTGTGTGTGGGGGTCAGGAGAGCAACTTGCAAGAATCTTCTCAACTTGCACACTTCACAGGGGGGGGTCACATTTAGACCACCTGGCTTGACAGTGCCTTTACCCGCTGAGCCATCTCACTGGCTACCAAGTTTTCAGTTAGATATTCTTTTTGCATATGTAAGTGTGCGATGTATGTGTGAGTCCATGTGAAGGCGCATGTGTGTAAACGCTGGGTGGCTTCCTCCTCCCTCTCCCCCTCTGGGTTCAACTAGGCTCACTCGGCAGCTTCAGCAGTCCCTCTGTCTCCATTCTGAGCTCTGGGCGCCAGAGCCGACTGTCATGTGGGTTCTGCACATCCAAACGCAGGTCTGCAGCCAGTGTGCCTGACATTCTACTGTGCCATCTCAAGAGCCTTGTGTTCGCAATTTTAATTAGAAAACTAATGTGTATCTAATTGTTTATAGATTTGCGTTGAAATAGCCACTCCGAGACAACTAGTCCTGAACCTTGCCTTTGAGTAGTTCTCTCTTAGACTTCTTGTTCTGTGGGTACACTCTATAAGCTGTCCCACTACTCCTGGGTCGGTAGAGTGCTAACATGAGCCCCCGCGTGTATCTAGTAACAGTGGGGTGTACATTGTTTCGTTTCCTATTTCCAAGCGTTCTCGTGTATGTTTATGAACATTCATAAAATTTTTAAAATAATTGGATCACACCTATTTGTTGTGCTGAGTTTCCCACTCCACAGTGATGTCTCTATTCTATGTCAGGAGTTACAGTCTACTTTATTTCCTAGTGGCCACATAGTGTTTCATAGTGTGGATATACCTCAGTTTATTTACTCACTCCCTTATTGATTGACATTTAGGTTGTTTCCCATTTTTCACTATTACAGGCAATGCTGCAGTGAAGATCCTTTTGGACAGAAGTGAGTATTCCTTTAGAATAGACTCCTAGAATTGGAACTACTGGGTCAACGGGCATGTGTACTATCAAATTGATAGTCACTGTCACACTGCCCTCCAGAAGCCCCGTTAGTGAACCACCCGGTACCAGTTTGCCAGAGTACCCATTTTAACATCAGTTTTACAGGCAGGAAATTTCTTTTCTAAGACCTTCTTAATTTTAAGCAGACTTTAGTCCCTGGGAGTTTTCTGCTCCTTTTTTTTATTTAAATGGCCAGGTTATTATCCATTGTCAGTCATACTTTGCTCCTTGAAATATGGAATTTTAAATTCTTTTGAAAACCTTTTTTCTTTTGTTGGAATTACTGTGTTCTTTCCTAGATACCTGTAGCCTAGCAGTGAAGTAGGAGGAAAGACTGAAAGTAGGCAATAAATGGCTTAGCGTGTTTATCCGGGCCTACATGCAGCCCTGACCTGCTTCAAAAGTTAGTTTGTGATATATAGGGTTATAGGTTTGTGTGTGTGTGTTTATGTGAGTGTTTGTTTTGTTTTGTGTTTTTTTAAGACAGGATTTCTCTGTGTAACAGCCTTGGCTGTCATAAAACTCCCTTTATATTGTCCAGGCTGGTATCAAACTTACAGAGCTCCTTCTGCCTCTGCCTCCCAAGTGCTGGTATTAAAGAAGGGTACCACCATGCCCAGCCTTTAGAGTTTAAATTATTTTTTTTTAAAAAAATAAATCTGTCAGTATATCTTCCTGCTAGTGATAGAGCCTTTAACTGTTCGTGGCCTTTGACCCAGAATCCTGTTCAAGGAATTTATCCTAACCAGACATGGATGTGCATTAACATCTGTGCGCTGCACTGTGAAAGTGTGAAGATGGGAAACAACCACCCGATATGGGAATAAGATGATATGGCTACCTTTGGCATATCCAATAAGACATAATGGTCATTATGTAATAGAATCCCATTTTAAGATCTCCCAAATACAGAAAAATATTAATGAAACTTACCAGAACTTATTAATAGACAGATCTGATGACAAGACTATAACATATTTCATTCTTTTCTTTCTGTATCAGCTAAATATTCTCCAAGGGACATGTAGTCTGAAAAAATTCTTATGTCCAATTATGTCATCTTTTGATTTCTGTAAGGTAAAACCCAAAGGCCGAGTCCGCTGGACCGGTTCCCGGTCGCGTGGCAGGTGGAGATACTCCAGCAATGACGACAGCGACGGCTCTGACAGTGAGAAGTCCTCTGCGGCCTCGGAGGAGGAGGGAAAGGAGAGTGAGGAAGCCGTCCTTCCAGAGGATGATGAGCCCTGCAAGAAATGCGGCCTCCCGAACCACCCAGAACTCGTATGTACCTGCACTAGTGAGCTCGGCTCAAGGCTGGGCTGTGGCTATTTGGAGGGACCTACTGCCTCTAGGTTTGATTGTGATTTGAATTTTGTTTTGTTTTTTGAAACAGGATCTCACTGTTAGCCCTGGCTAGCTCAGATCTCATTACCTTGCTAGTTAAGGTTAACCCTTGTCTTCCATTTCTATTTCTGTGATAAAGCACCGTGGCCTAGGAAGCATAACAAAGAAACCTTGATTATGCTGTGGTTCAGAGGGTTAGAGTTAATGACGGCCGCGTGAGAGCCTGGCTGGGGCAGCAGCTGAGAGCTCACAGCTTGATCCACAAGCAGGAGGCAGAGAGCACACTGCAGATAGCCTGAGTTTTTTGAAACCTCACAGCCTGCTCCCAGGAACATACTTTCTAATCTCCAAACAGCTACTACCTGGGGACCAAGAGGTCAAGTGCTTGAGACTGGGGTTGAGGGGAGTGGGGAGAGCAAGCATCTCCTTCAGACCACCACAGCTACCATAATGACCAGGGCTGTGAAAGTTAAGGCTTCTGTGTTGAGGACGTTTGAAGATTTGATCTCTTGAAGATCTCTTTTCTGCCCTCTATCTAACTCAGAGAATCAGCTAGACTGGTGTTTGCCAAACCATTTCCTAATTCATTTGTTCATTCATTCATTCACTAACATTTATTTTAACTATGGATTAAAAAGTAAAGAAACTGGGGACAGAAGTAAGTGAGGAAGTAAGTGTAGCAAGCAAAAGTGACAGCAGAGAGAGCCAAAGGATTTTCGTTTATCTAATTATAAGTAGCTGGAGAGCCCAGTTCTGTTTGCTATTGTCAAGAGAATGACATTAGAAACTGAAGCTCTACAGTCTGCTGTGTTTCGTATGTCCTAGACTAGAAGATAATCCCAAATCAAAATTAGAAGCAGTAGCTGGGCGGTGGTGGCACACACTCAGGAGGGAGAGGCTGGCGGATCTCTGTGATTTCGAGGCCGGCCTGGTCTACAGAGTGAGTTCCAGGACAGCCAGGGCTACACAGAGAAACCCTGTCTCAAAAAACAAAAAGAACAACAAGATTGAAGGGCTAGCACTCCACTGTTGTATTCGTCCTGGTGAACAGAAAGGCAATAGATTCCGCAAACTTGCAACTCTTGTGATTTTGTTTTTTGTTTTGTTTTGTTTTTTCGGTTTTTTTGTTTTTGGTAAAGTAATGGATCTTTGCCTGAGACTTGGAAATTCTTTTTTTGTTTATATTTTTGTTTTGTTTTTTGAGATAGGGTTTCTCTGTGCAATAGCTCCAGCTGTCCTAGAACCTGCTTCATAGACCAGTAGGCCTTGAACTCTCAGTCTTCCCAAGTGCTCCGATGCCAGGGTTGTGCCGGCCGCCTGGTGGAAATTCTTAGGTAGTAATAGTTGCTCAGTGAGATTTGTGGCTTTGTTGTGGTGTAAGCAAGTCTCCTTATAGAAGTAAATGAATTTGTCAGTTTTATTTTTAATTGTCTTAATTTGAAATTTAGGTTATTTTTCTGTAGAAACATGTGATGAGTTGTAGTCGTATGAGCGGCGGGGCTGCGTCCCCAGCACCCCGGCCGCCTGCACGGCTAGCTTTACCAGAAATAATTACACGGAAACTGTATTCTTTTAAACACTGCTTGGCCCATTTCTATCTAGCCTCTTCTAGGCTAACTCTTGTACCTGGACTAGCCCATTTCTAATATTCTATGTAGCACAGCTAGGTGCGCTTACCGGGAAGATTCTAGCCTACGTCCATCCTGGGTCAGAGCCATCGTGTGTCTGCCCGGGAGCGGGGCATGCCATCTCTCTCGGAGGTGTCTGCTCCCGAGAGGAGAGCTGTCGAGTCTGAGCTCACTTCCTCTTCCTCCCAGCATTCTGTTCTGTTTACTCCACCCACCTATGTTTTAACCTATGAGGGCCAGCCAAGCAGTTTCTTTATTTTTTAACCAATGACCTTCCTCCATCAATGAGTGAGGTTGGTGCTTGCCTCAGTCCACACACGCCAAAGCTACTGATCTTACAGTCGCTGTACACCACTGATGCAAGTCCACATATGTAAGTCCTTCCTTTAGTAAGACCAGTGGTGGAATGAACCCTGTGATGCAGGATTAGGGTTGGAAGAATTGTAGTGAGTTCATTTTAATATAGGTAGAAATGCAGGTGTGTGTGTGTGCATACATATGCAGTTATTACCTACTTAGTATGCTCTTCTCTGAGAGAACTTGATACTAGTGGCAGGCCACTGCAGTAAGCACTCAGACTTCCCAGATCTTGGTTTCTCAATTCATCTAGAATAAAGCAACCAGAGTTTATTTATTTTATTAATTCTCACCCAGCGGGAAGTGTGCAAGATGTGTCGAGAGCACCCTGTACCTGCCAGGAAGTAACAGTGCTTTACAAACAGCATCTGATAGACAGGCCCCAAGGACACAGAAAGAGCTTGTGGATCCATAGCAAGAACTGCTCCAAGAAATGAAACAATAGATTTTAATTACAATTCAAAGGAGAAGAAATGTTTCTTAGTTTATACTGATGGGAATAATTGTGTAGACAAATGAGTAGTGGGAGGAACTCCAGGAGCTTAGGAGGTCTGAGAAGGAGACACAAGCAGAGTCCAACAGACATCACTGTTTGGAAGCAGAGCTCGGAGAGAGCGAGAGATTTACATAACTCGATTATCTTACTTTAAAATACTTACAAATTTATTAGCTACTGTATCCCTAAATCTTCTGGTCCTCCTAGCCCTAGAAAACTTCAGCCTCTTTCTTTGAGCATCAGCTGGATCTTCATTCTGTTTGTTGTTGTTCATGTGTTGTTATGGTGATTTGCGTGCATGCTGTTCTGTGTTGTTCATGAGTTGTTATGGTGATTTGCGTGCATGCTGTTCTGTGTTGTTGTTCGTGTGTTGTTATGTTGATTTGCATGCATGTTGTTCACTTGAAACTTCTTTCCTAACTCGTGGATTATTTTTTTCTGCCCTCGCTTTCCTAGTAGTAGGATTACAGGCATTAGCCAGAAGGTCCAGTGGGGTTTATTTTGAGGTTAGACATATGGAAAATAAACAATGTAACTTCTAGGTAGAAAAATAAATAGCTACTTCTTTAACTAAGTTATCAATATTAATATCATCAGTAATAATCTGTATTGATGTCATATATTCCTTGTGTGGTAGTTTGAATAAGGATGGTCTTTATAAAACCTAGTGTGGTGGTCCACACCTTTAATCCCAACATTCAGAAGGCAGAGGCAGGCAAATCTCTGTGAGGTTAAGGGTAGCCTGGTTTACAGATTAAGTTCCAGGACAGCCAGGGCTACATAATGAGTCCCTGTAGAAAGAAAAAGGAGTCGTGCTAAGTTTACGGGCTGAAGAAATGGATCAGCAGTTAAGAACACTTATAGTGCTCTCTTCTAGAGGACCCCATGTGGTAGCTCCTAACTGTTGGTAACTTCATTTCCAAGGGATCTCGTGCCCTCTTCTGACCTTCACTGCCCCTGCACACAAATGGTGCACTTGCATGCACAGAGGCAGACACACACAGGCACATTAGATAAGGAAGAATGGCTCTAGGCTCATGCATGTGAATGTTTAGTTGCAGATAGTGGAAGTATTTGAAGGATTATAAGGATTAGGAGATGTGGCCTTATTGGAGCAGGTGTGGTCTTGTTGGCGGAAGCGTGTCTCTGGAGTCCAGGCCCAATCTCTCTTTCTGCTGCCTGCAGATCAGGATATAGAACTCTCAGCCACTTCTTCAGCACCATGCGTGTGTGCTCCCGTGCTTTCTGCCGTGATAATGGACTAATCTCTGAATCTTTAAGCCAGCCCCCTAACAAGTGCTTTTTTATAAGAGTTACCTTTGTTGCGGTGTCTCTCCACTCAGCAGAACATGGACTAAGACACCTTGCTGTGACAGAATGAGCAGAACGCTCTTCTTTCAAACATGGGTCCCCAGTGTAAACATTTGGAAACAAACCCAAATTCAGAATTGTTTGTGAAGTGTTTGGTTTCTAATATTTTGCAGACTGTCAAGGTCACACACACATATCTGTTGTCCCTAAGAATGAGAGTAGGGAAATGTAGTCAAGTACAGTACAGTCGAATAACCTTGGATTCATGGTCAGAAAAACAACAGTGCTGTTCGGCAAAGGTCTTATGAGACCTACTGTGTTGGTGCTCAGTTTGAGTTTTGGCAGAGATGGGTAAGATTTTAGCTTTGTAACTGGTCACGCTGGCACATACCTCTAACCTCTAACATTTGGGGGCTGGAGCAGGTGGATTGAAACTTTGAGGCCAGTTTATATCAAGACTGCCTCTCAGGGAAAAAAAGAGTTATAGCCTTTAGGAAAGTTGAAGGAAAGGCATCTGTGGATGCTGTAATATCTCTGTAGTCCACCTATAAATCTAAAAATGCTTTCAAGGAGATACTTTTTTATTTAAATTATTACCAATAGCCTGTGGTATGTTAAATAACTGCCGTCTAGACTTCCTTGCAGTGACACTAAAGGTAAAACTAGTTGGTGGGGATGTTAGTGTCTGAGCAGGATGAGCAGGACGGCTCTGACCCTTCAAGTCCTTTCCTGTGCGTCAGACGCTTCCTTAGCTGCATTACAGAAAGAAGATCTGTATTTCTTATGTGTAGGCAATTGAAATGCATTTAAAATAGAAATACTTTATAATTCTCTTCATGCTAGTATACTTTATGATACTTGAATTTTAAAATTCTGTTATAAAGAATGTAAGATTATCCTTATGGCAAACTAAAAATTGATTCCAGTTCAGAAAAAGGGCTTACTGTATTTCACTGATTTCTACATTATGAAATTTTCTTGGGTTGTCAGAGGGAATGCTTTTTAATTTTTAAATTCTTTTTGCTTTGTTTTGTTTCTGTTTTTGTGTAACAGGGTTTCTATGTGTAGCCCTGGCTGTTTTTGAACTTGCTTTATGGACCAGGCTGGCCTCTGACTCAGAGATCCACCTGCCTCTGCCTCCCTAGTGTTGAGATTAAAGGCGTGCGCCACCACCATCCAGTCCAGCTCAATGTAAAAAAAAAAAATAATTTTCCACCCCTATGTGTCATTTATTTCATTCTCTGTCTTTATGCAAACACCAAATGTTCATGGTAGTGTACTAAGAAATACTGAATTGTCAGTCTTCACGAGGAATGGTGTCATGGCTGTACAAACTCAGCACTGTGGAGGCTGAGGCAGGATATCTATCACTGAGAGCTTGAGGCCGACCTGTGCTATGTGTACTGGCCCAACCTGCGCCATTAATATAGTGAGGATTGTTGAAAGAAAAGGAAGGAAGGAGGAAGGAAAAGACCATTATTTTAACAAAATGCAGATTGGTTGATATTGCTGTGGTTTATTTCAGATTCTTCTGTGCGATTCCTGTGACAGTGGCTACCACACCGCCTGCCTCCGTCCTCCTCTGATGGTCATCCCTGATGGAGAATGGTTCTGCCCTCCTTGCCAGCATGTACGACCCCGCCTAATTCTGTGTCCAGCCTCAGTTTGATATTCAATACATTACTAATACTTTTTAGCAATCATAAATGCCTTCCTGTTCAAAGCAGTTGTTAGTGTCTGCCTTTTGTTTGGGTCTCTACCTTATATTCTTATCTTAGGCTTGCCTTCTGTCTTTCTATAAGACTTCTGGCTTTTGTAGAACCATCTGTTTTCTACTCAAATTTATAATAAATATAAATAACTCCAACTTTGTGTGTGTGTGTGTGTGTGTGATGAATGAAAGTGAAATGAATGTTTCTGTAGTTTGTCCATTTTTAAACTCTCACTTTTCATTACTGTATCTCTTTTTGTGGCCAGCACTGGAAGATTCATTAGTCTGTTGTGTGTTCACAAAGTTTCTTGTAAAGCCAGAAACAGTAGACTTGTTTGCTGCACCAGTTGTGGGCTTTGTTTTACAAGGCCAACTTTATTTTGCTTTCACCATAATGTCTTTATGCCGTTTCTGTAAAGTTACCTTGTCTTGCTCAGCATGGCTCAATCTGTGATTTTTTTCTTAATGCTCTGTTTTGATCCAGTTACCATGTAGCATTGTTTGTGTATTTTTATATTGGCATTATGCTTTGTCATATATAGTTCTTTCAGAATTATTTTGATAGCCTTTGTCAGTATAATCTTGTACTGAGCAGGAATGGATGAAATGCTCTTCTGATAGTGAAGGCAGATCAGCACAGCAGACCAGCACAGCATGTGTCCCTTTGCTTTGTTCTTTGTGGAGCCGTGTTTGTTTGGCATGCTTTCATATTGAAGCGCTGTGCTCAGTATCTGTGAAGTGGGTCCTGACCACATTGTAAACAAAGCATTTTCAGTGTAGCCATTTTCAGCGCATAAGGCTTATTATTATTAAACTTATAAAAATAGTAAGGGCTGGAAAGACGCCTCAACGGTTAAAAGTGTTGGCTGTTCTTCCAGAGGTACCTGGTTCAATTCCCAGCACCCACGTGGCAGCTCACAACTGTATGTATTTTCAATTTCTTGGAATCTGACACCTTCACACCAATGCTCATAAAATAAAGATAAAATAAATAAATAATAATAAGCCTTAAGATTAATAATATTTTATGTGATGTGTGGTTGTGTTGTTCAAAATAATATGTGTGTGTGTATTATATATATATATATTTATTTTTCCTTTAGAAACTACTGTGTGAAAAATTAGAAGAACAGTTGCAAGATTTGGACGTTGCTTTAAAGAAGAAAGAGCGTGCTGAGCGAAGGTAAACTGATATATGTGTTAATGTTTTCCTTGGGAATTTGGCAGTAAAATTGTTGCAGTTGAGATGAACATAGCCATCTAAATCAAAGACTGGCAGCCTGTAGCAAGTCAAGTCTGGTCTGCTGCTGCTTTGCATTGCCTTCTCAGAATGGTTTTCATGCTCGTAAAAACATTGCTGTAGAATCATTTCGTGATGTACGGAAAAACATGGTATTTCCCGGCTGCCCAGCCCATAAATAGGCTTATCTAGAACACAGTTTTGCTCATCTTTTTGTCTGCTTATCAAGACTGCTTTGGCTCTACAGCAGTGAACTGAGTAGCTCAGTAAGATCCAGTAACTTCCCACACGTGAAATACTATGTGTCCTTTTATACACAGATTTGCCAACCCCCTTGTAGAGTATCAGAGTCTGCTGTGGAAAAGCATTGTCCTACATCTTGTGAAGGAAATGAACTAAACTATCATTGAACACTGGAAAATTATAAGATCCTGCTCAGAATTATTTACTCATATTATCTTTGTCGGGGGATCATTTAATTACTGATAGTAAAATATACTGTTTGATTCTGTCCCTAGAGGGCAGTCTAAAACAGTTGAGGTCGCTTCTTTCAGATTTAGAATGAATCTCACTTTCTACCAGACAACACAGAGACCCAATGGGATGAGAGACAGAATGTTGTAATAAGGCTGTCCAGCCCAGAAATAACCACACAGATAGTGTTTTAATTAAATCATTGCTTGGGCCATTAATTCTAGCTTACTTTAACCATCCTCATTATTTTATAGTAATGTTTATTACCATAGACTTTTTCCCCCCTCATGAGACAGGGTTTCTTGTGTGCCCTGGCTGTCCAGGGAACTCACTCTGTAGACCAGGCTGACATCAAACTCACAGAGATCCACCTGCCTCTGCCTCCCAAGTGCTTGGATTAAAGCTGTGCGCCACTACTGCCCAGCCATTACCATAGACTTATAATTGTATACTACACTCAGAACATTTCCCAGGACATCTAATTTGCAAAGATCTAGTTTGTTTGATTTAGTCAGAGTTAGCTTTCCAAATCTAACCACCATGTCAACTCATAGTTTGAAGTTTGTCTATTGTAGTTCAAAAGTACAGCCTTCATATAGGTAAGAAAGTTTGTGCTTTTCATCAGTACTATTTACAGTGATATTTTCATACTGGTTTTATTTATAGCAAATCTTATTTTGCGTCTTTGTTGTTTTTGGTTTTAAGGAAAGAACGCTTGGTGTATGTTGGTATCAGTATTGAAAACATCATTCCTCCACAAGTAAGTTTCAGAATTTTGTGTGTGACTGTTTTGCCTACTTGTGTAGTTTGTGACCTCATGTATGCCTAGTGCCCACAGAGGTCAGAAGAGGGGCGAGATCCTCTGGAAACTGGAGTTAGGAGTGGCTGTGAGCCACTTGTGGGTGCCAGGATTCTAGCCTGGGTCCTCTGAAGAGCATCTAGGGCTTCCCCACTGAGCCATGTTCAGTCCAGGACTTTTAGTGTTTTTAGAGGAGACGCACTATAGTTTCTAAAGTTTAACCCAGTTATATGCCATTTTAATATTTAACATGCCTGTTCTATTAAAGCACATGGAGAAGTAACTTCTCAAATTATTATTTATAAATAGATAACTCAATATGATTATCATATTCAAACCAAATTATAGCTCATTGCTTTGGGGTAATGTTCTATTGTTTCTTTTGTTAATGGAGCAATTTGTGGTTAGCTTTATAATGTATGTGCATAAAATAGCTAAAGAATAGCTTGGGAATATTTTACTTTTAATTTGGTACCATTGAAACTTTAATTTTTATTATAATTTCATTTCTTTGAAGAATTACCATATTTCCATTCGTTAGTCTATAATTCAGCATACCTCATGAGTGAATGTACATGAAGTATAGTTTCCAACTTGACTTTGTTGTGGTTCTGTTACTGTTGTTGATTTTAGATGGAGTCTATAGCCTGGCTAGCCTGGGACTCAGATCCACTGCCTCTTCCTCTTAGACGCTGGTTTTGAAGGCTAGGATCAGATGTGTGAGCCACAACATCCAGCGGTTTCCAGATGAAGTTCTGTTCATGATTAAATCACAGCTTTAAGTAGCTTGCCAAGTTGTTCTTCAGTCTAAATGAAATCATCCTATGAGTTCAGCATCTATATCTACTCTTAAGTTTTCTGTGTTTCAAATTTAATTATTGGTTAAAAGATCGAATTGGGCCGGGCACTGGTGGTGCAAGTTTTTAATCCCAGCACTTGGGAGGCAGAGGCAGGAGGATCTCTCTGAGTTTGAGGACAGCCTGCTCTACAGAGCAAGTTCTAGGAATTCTTTTTTGGAGTGGAAAAAAACCAAAAAACATTAAATTGGTAGAAAATTTTCATTTTGGTTATTTTAATAGCAAACTGTTGTAAACTCAGAGAAATATAAGAATTTCAACACATAAATACCTCACCTATTTGACTACCAGTAGTTTTAATTTGTATTAGTTTTCCTGTCTATATTCATTGTAGTAGATAATCTCACAGTTTTTAGACCATGTGTGTTGCTTAGATAGAATATTAAAGCTGCTCATTCCAAGGACTGTTCCTGTCACACCTTTATGTTTATTTTTAAAGGAGCCAGATTTTTCTGAAGATCAAGAAGAAAAGAAAAAAGATACAAAAAAATCCAAAGCAAACTTACTAGAAAGGAGATCAACAAGAACAAGGAAATGTATAAGCTACAGGTATTAAATAAAAGAAAGTTGTTAGAGTCCTTGATCCTCAAGGCTTTTTCCCGTTAGACGAGTGGGTGGTTCTCCCAGCGTTCTGGTTTGTAACTGTGATGTGTGTCACACAACACACACCCACGCAAGCACATTTCCATATTGTTAGCCTGGCTAAGCCAGTTCATCCTATGGTCACATAAGCCCTAAACTAAGCTGCTGCTTTCTTATATAGCGATCTTAGGGATCATCTCTTGTTCCTTTTTTCTTTAAACCAGAGGAAATAGTCCTTTAAGCAAAAGTACATTTTTCTAGTTGTAAATTTTGCCCCACCGTATGTGAATTCCTACAACAAAGTTATTTACAATAGTAATGATCCCTGGCCTTTATGGAACAGTAATTTTATCCAGATTACTTTACCACGACTTAAATGATTAGAGGTCAGTCTTTAGGCTCAGCTCGCCCACCTGCAGGTGTTTGTTTCCCAGCTGCCCAGAACAACGCAGGCTTTTTATTAACTAACTCTTACATCGCCGGGCGGTGGTGGCGCACGCCTTTAATCCCAGCACTCGGGAGGCAGAGGCAGGCGGATCTCTGTGAGTTCGAGGCCAGCCTGGTCTACAAGAGCTAGTTCCAGGACAGGCTCCAAAGCCACAGAGAAACCCTGTCTCGAAAAACCAAAAAAAAAAAAAAAAAAAAAAAAAACTAACTCTTACATCTTAAATTAACCAATTCCTATTATTTTGTACTTTACCACAAGGCTCATGGTTTACTGGAAGGTTCCAGGGCGACTGTCTCCTTGGCTCCACCTTCTTTTTCCTCTATTTCTGCTTGGAATTCCCACCTTGCTTTCTTCTGCCCTGTCATAGGCCCAAGCAGCTTCTTTAGTATTAACCAGTAAAAGCAACACGTGTCCAGAAGGACATCACATCAGGTTCTGTATCCCAGGAATGGCTTTTATGTTTTTGTGATTGAACCATGCATAAGGGACATTTCCGTGTCTGAAGTTTTGTCACATGGCCATCGTTATTTATTTGACATTTGTTTTACAGATGGCACGTTCAGGACTTTATAATCCAGAAAGCTAAAGTTTACTATCTGGTGGTGTTGGCTGTCTAGCGAGTGTGAGTGCAGAGTGCCTTCCGCACATGCTGATGTGTCCTCCTGTGTGGAAATGCCACCAGCTGCATAGCTCTCAGCGTGAATGATCCACAGTTCCAGAGGCTTGACAGATCCACAGATCCCGAGATCACAGTCCTGACAGACTGGGAATTTGTGGGGACCTGGTTCTGACTTTTCCTGGGCACCTTCTCTGTGCTCTCGTGGTAGCTGTTCCCTAGGACAGATCTGGTGTCTGCTTCTTTACCTATAGGGCCGTTCTCTTGCTTTAACTTCTCATGGCAGAAGAAGCCAAGGCACTCCTGGTTTCTCTTTTTTTCTTCCTGTTTAATCATATTCATGAGTGACCCATGCCATTGACCGTCACATATGAGTTGGGTGGGGACACCAACAGACTCTTGGGGCCACTTTGTGTAGGTAGTCTTTGGAAATCAACACAGATACAGTCTACAATCTGATTACTGTGTTCATTTTAGGTTTGATGAGTTCGATGAAGCGATTGATGAAGCTATAGAAGATGATATCAAGGAGGCTGATGGAGGGGGTATGTTTCCCATGTATTCCTCTTCACGTGTTTTTCCCAGCAGATTACCCCTCCCCAGTGCTAGCACTGAATGTACTCAAGTAATTTGCTGACATGGTGATGGTGCATTACATCAGAACTGATTACTAATTTTTGTATGATCTAATACAAAATTTTAAATTCCTTTATCAGTCAGTTTATGTCTGGTTCTAATAAGAATACTCCGGAAGCTTTCCTATTGTCTTTGCAACAGCAAAGCCTCAAAAGTTACTCATTTATTTGCCTTCTCTACTCTTTCTTTGTTTTGTTTTTTTGTTATGTTTGTTTCTATTTTGTTTGATAAAGGGTAGCTTTCTGTAGTCCTGGTTGTTCTGGAGCTCTCTCTGTAGACCACACCAGTCTTTAGTTTACAGAGATCCTCCTGCCTTTGTCTCCTGAGTGCTGGGATTAAAGACCTGCGCCATGACCGGCCTTAATTGTCTTTAGAATAGCACTATAGAAAATTCATAAGGTTGTTAAAGTGTTATTTAGCCAGGTACTAATGCTCTGATGTAGAACTTTCTGGTTTCTCTTGTTATTTTGAAAATTTCAGAATGGATCAATAAACAGGTTTTTTTTGGGGGGGCGGAGTTCGACACAGGGTTTCTCTGTAGCTTTGGTGCCGGTCCCAGAACTAGCTCTTGTAGACCAGGCTGGCCTCGAACTCCCAGAAATCCGCCTGCCCCTGCCTCCCGAGTGCTGGGATTAAAGGCATGCGCTACCACCGCCCGGCTAATAAGCAGATTTTTTTATAAAAAAACTGATATTATAGCTTTTCAGAATTGCGTCTTTTTTTGTTTTGTGTCTTTTTGTTGATACTGTTTTGTTTTTTTTTTTTTTGAGACAGGCTATCTCTGTAGCTTTAGGGTCTGTCCTGGAACTCTCTCTCTAGCCCAGGTTGGCCTCGAACTCAGAGATCCGCCTGCCTTTGCCTCCCGAGTGCTAAGATTAAGGCTTACGCCACCAAGTCTGGCCAAAATTGGATCTTTTATTTACATCTTTATCAATTTTTTTCTGTCCTGACTCAGGAAGATTCTTGAGCAAATGCTAACACGTTTGCGGCTTCTTTTCCAAGTAAGGAGAGTGACGGCAGCTGGACAGCTTTGTGACTGCACCAGAAATCTCCGAGCTGAGTTCTTAAGAGATGGTCGTGCCAGGCACTAGTGGCTCATGCTTTTAATCCCAGCACTGCCTTGGAATGTGTGAACACACACACACAAATATAAAATAAAATCAAGAAAGAACTGACAAACTGTATGAGGGTCTAAACGGATGGCCCCAAGATAAAAACCCTTGTTCTTACAGAGGGCCTAGGTCAGGTGCCCAGTACCCACTTGTAACTCAAAACCATGTTAACTCTAAATCTAGGGAATTCAGATTTCTCTTCCGACCTTAGGTACCAGTCATGCATGTACTACACACACATACATGTGAGCAAAACACTCAGACAATACAATAAAGAGTATTGGGCTAAGTAAGCTGATACAAATCTGCAGATCAGGGGGACGAGGCACAAGGATCACAATTTCAAGACCAACCTGGGCTGCACAGAGAGGTTTTTTTTGTTTTGTTTTGTTTTGTTTTTAACAGCCCTCCACCAAAAGGCAATGAAATAAAGGGGGGAGGGAGGCATCACGAAGTGATCTATCAAATCAGAATCTAGATCGGGACCTTCTGCACTGTGAATGTGTGTTTAGTAAGATGGGCGTGTTAATTCTTTCTGTAGACATTGTCAGCTGACGTTGTAAGCAGCCTGCACAGTTGTAAGGAAAATAAAGCAGATAAACATGCAGTTACCTCTTCTCTCAGGGGTTGGCCGAGGAAAAGATATCTCCACCATCACAGGTCACCGTGGGAAAGACATCTCTACCATTTTGGATGAAGAACGAAAGGAGAACAAACGGCCGCAGAGAGCAGCTGCTGCCCGCAGGAAGAAACGCCGGCGACTTAATGATCTTGATAGTGATAGCAACCTCGATGAGGAAGAGAGTGAGGACGAGTTCAAGATCAGTGACGGGTATGTGGCTGGATCTGGGTCCTGAGAGCCTTGGCTGTGCTAGGTTGTGGCTTTCAGTCTTTGTGTACATGGGCAGTCTGGATTTTCAAGATATTTAAGGCAGATTTGAGAGTCCTCATTTTGATTCATTTTAGAATAAAATTAAAGCTATGTTTATGATTGTTGAATATTTAAAATTGTATCTAACTTTGATTAACTATTATTGAAGTTTTATTTATTGACGTCTTTCTTTATACTACCTTCTCTTACCCAGTCCATCAGTGGTTTTTAATCAAGTGTGGGAAATTATAAGTAGTTACTGTCTTCTCTGCTCTGTAGAGGTTATAAGGGGCAGGTAATCCAGTGTTAGGGTTAGAATGCCTTCTCTGCAGAGCGCATCTGAACTGTACTGTAGTGGTTCTCCTTTTCACTTTGTCGTAGATGTAGTAGGAAGTGTATAAACCCCAGAAAAGGTGCCCTGCACTGCCTATAACATAGAGGAAAGTTAGGGTACATTTGCGGTGGTTGGGGAACCCTCACTTAAGAAGACATGTTAAGATGAATATTCTGAGCAGGCCCATGCATTTAGAGAGTTTAGGGTGAGAGAAGTAAGCAACCTGAACAGAGAAGCTCCTGCCCAAGGTGGAGGAGAAGTTAGGAAACTTCCTGAGCAGAAAGAATATAGGGATAGAATAGACAATGCTATGGTGAAGCCACAACCAGAACATAAAAGAGAGATTATGGAGTGAGGTCTTTCTATTTCTCTTCTTTTGTCATGCATACAGATTTGAACTCTGTCCTAAAAATGTTAAAACAACAACAACAACAACAACAAAAAAACCCAGAAAAAAACACCCAAAGATTTGAGGTGTGAGGTGAAAGGAGTTTCAGGATGCATACCAAGCATCTGGTCTGGGTTATTGATGGGCGAAGGTTCTCAATACCTGATAGCTGAGCATCCAGTCCTGCCAGACTGACTTTAGTTCTTAGAAGCCATCTAAGACTGGGAGGACAGCACCTGGACAAGTTGTCGGCTGGCATCCGCATGCAGCACAAGTAACCCGTCCCTCCCCATAAGCAGTCAGCATTTTTATATTGAAAATGTGTGAAGAGGGGCTTGGGAAGTAGTGTTGGATTTAAGATGCCCCCAAAGAGGCCAGTGAAAGAAGTTTATGTGTGAAATTTAGTTTCAGTTGGTCTTCACAGCTTCTAGAAAGAGAACGGTAAGTGATAGGATATTTGTTTTATAGATGGGAGTTGACATAATTTTCCAAGTGTGCCTTTAAAATTGCTTACTATTGCATGATTCATTACAGCTTGTGTTTGGAACTATGGTAACTGGTTTTCACTTCTAACTGTGCCTTTACAAACAAGCCCTGAGTGCACCATTGTGACATGTCCGGGTTTTCCTGCACAGGTCTCAGGATGAGTTCGTTGTGTCTGATGAAAATCCAGATGAAAGCGAAGAAGATCCGCCATCTAATGAGGACAGTGACATGGACTTCTGTGGCCGCAGACTGAGGCGGCATCCGTCTCGGCCAATGCGGCAAAGCAGGCGCTTGCGGAGAAAGACCCCAAAGAAAAAGTACTCTGACGATGACGAAGAGGAGGAGGAGGAGGAGTCCGAGGAGAACAGTAGAGACTCCGGTAAAATGCCTTTTGTTGTAGCGAGCAGCTCCATTGCTCTGTGACTTCCGCAGTTACGTGGCGTTGGAATTGTCCTTAGCTGTGACTGGGGCCTCCTGATGAGACACTGGAGTCCTTTTCTGATGACTTGCTTGTCACTTTTTTTTTTTCACCCAGAGCACATCTGAGAAAATTCATGTCAGTTAATGTGTTACCTTCATATCAGTTTTAGAATGTTAATGATAAATCCTTTTGGTACTAAGTATTTTTGAGAATAGTTTGGGGCCTGTCCTGGCACTCTGGAGACCAGGCTGGCCTCAAACTCACAGAGATCCGCCTGTCTCTGCCTCCCAAGTTCTGGGATTAAAGGCGTGCGCCACCACCACCCAGCACACCAGGGCTTCTTAAGCATTCTGCTTGCAAAACTTTTATTCCTGAGATGCCTTTACTCAACTTCTAGTACTTATGTATATGAAACAGATAAAGTGAGTCAAACATTGACTGAATAAATCTTAAAACTATTTTTCTTTTTAGTGATTTTTCTTTGCTTTGTTGTTGTGTCTGTGAAAGGGTGTCCAATCTCCTGGGACTGGAGTTACAGACAGTTGTGAGCTGCTGTGTGGGTGCTATGAATTGAATCTGGGTTTTCTGGAGTCATCTATCTCTCCAGTCCCAAGTAAATGTATTTTTAAACCAGGTGGTTGTGGTGTACATCTTTAATCCCAGAACTCAGGATGCAGAGGCAGGCAGATCACTGAGTTTGAGGCTAGCCTGGTCTACAGAGTGAGTTCCGGGACAGCCAGCACTATATAGCTAAACCCTGTCTTGAAAAACAAAACAAAACTAAAAAATGTATTTTCAAAGATTCTTTTGGTTTGGACTTGGTGGGCCATGCCTATAATCCCAGTTCTCAGGAGGTCAAGGCAGGCAGATCATTGTACATTCAGGGCCAGCCTGGTCTGTATAACGAGTTTCAGGCCAGCCAGGGGTACATAGTGAGACCCTGTTGTTAAACAATTAAAAAAAAAAACTTCTGACCAAAAACATTGTTAAGTGAGTGTCAGGTGCATATTCCTGAGCCTGACAGCTTTGTGTTTGATCTCCAGGACCCTTATGGCAGAAGGAAAGAGCCAATTCCCTTATGCTGTCCTCTGACTTCCGCATGTACGCACGAACAGGGAGAGACAGAGACACAGAGAGAGAATAAATAAATGGGGGAAAGTTTAATAAAAGTTATTTTGGAAACCTAATTTTGCATGCTATTGATAACAGATGTGCTTAGTTTTATGTGAGGAAAGCCTTTCTTGATCAGGTTGATGCTGCGCATCAGAGACATTTTCCCTGCCAGCCGGGAGTGCTGCCTCTCAATGCAAATGGGAGGAAGTGTCTTTGAGCTGGTTTTACTGGAAGTTCTATTCTAATTCACTCCAAAAGTCATTTAAGTATTTTTGTTATAAAACTCAATTTAGAATTCAGTCAGCATTTTTAAAAATCAAAACATTCTAACAATGCAATCCAAAAACTAATTTGGTAATTACAAACTGAGGAATGATAATAGAGAAATATTAAAAGAACATGTTTGCTGTGATTAAACCATTACTTTTTTTTTTTTTTTTTTTTTTGGTTTTTCGAGACAGGGTTTCTCTGTGGCTTTGGAGCCTGTCCTGGAACTAGCTCTTGTAGACCAGACTGGTCTCGAACTCACAGAGATCTGCCTGCCTCTGCCTCCCGAGTGCTGGAATTAAAGGCGTGCGCCACCATCGCCCGGCCAAACCATTACATTTTTGAATATGTTTTTTCCCTTTGAGAATTTCATAATACAAACATAAAATGTACTTTGATTATATTAACTCTTTCACTTCTCCCCAGCTCCCCCCAGACCCACCCTCTCCCCTCTTCCAACCATATGGTATGCCTTTTTCTTTTATTTATTTTTTAAGTCTACCAAATCCAATCTGTGTTGCTCGTGAACTTGTGAGTTTCAGACCATCCATTGGAACATGACTATCTGGGGCCACACCTTACCACAGATGTGATTCTGTTTCCCCCAGAAGCCATCAGTCCCTCTTGAGTCCTTCAGCTCGTGAGCCCTTTCCTCCTGCATGCTCGAATGTTTAGCCTTGATAGTGTACAGAGATCCCTAGCTCTGAGTTTAAGTGCACTGTCCTTTTCCTGTCCAGAGACCAGTGTGGCTCTCGTCCCCACCTCTGTCTCCTACAGTCTTCCCATCCCTCTGCTGTGATGGTCTCTGAGCCTTGTAGGAGGTGGGTGTCCTGGAGACGTCCTGCTGTGGCTGGGCACGCCAGCTTCCTCTCTGCACGCTGACTCACTGGTTGTTGTCAGCGGAGTGCGATGTGGAGTGTTCCAGAATAGGAGTTACAGCTTTCCTCTTTCTCACTGCTGGGGACGGAGCTATGGTGGTGTGCACCTGTAATCCCTGTTCCCAGAAAGTGGTGCCAAGAGGAGCAGAAGTTCGAGGCCAGCCTGGGCTCAGAAAATCCACAAGTGTACATTTGTGATATTTGGTAAATTAATTTTTATTGAAAAGGAAATAAAATTTATAAAACTTATTCAACAAAAATATTTACAACTGAGCTCAATTAACTTTATGATTTTATAGCCTGAACCTGTTAAACTACCAATGGATTTAAATTTTGTTGTTCTTTGTTCCCCTTCTTTTTCTCCCCTCTAAACAGAAAGTGATTTTAGCGATGACTTTAGTGATGATTTTGTAGAAACCCGGCGAAGACGATCAAGAAGGAACCAGAAAAGACAGATTAACTACAAAGAAGATTCGGAAAGTGATGGTTCCCAGAAAAGTATACGACGGGGTAAAGAAATCAGGCGCGTCCACAAGCGCAGGCTCTCCAGCTCAGAGAGTGAAGGTGAGCAGGAGGGTTTCCCCGTGTAGCCCTAGATGTCCTGAACTCACTCTGTAGACCAGGCTGGCCTGGAACTCCAGAGATCCACCTGCCTCTGCCTCCTGAGTGCTGGGATTAAGGGTTTGTGTCTCCTGCCTGGCTGATTTTTTTTTTTTATGCATATAATCACTAGTGTGATTGGAATAAATCCTAGTACTTTTACCCCATTTATTAATTATAATTTAAATAAACCACTCTTGATAGAATGCTACATTTTTTAAGTCATTCCTATTTATTCATGTATTATGTGTCTTTGAGTGCTGTAGTTTCATGTATGCTTACATGACAGAAGAGGGTGTCAAATCCCACTATAGATGTTTGGTTGTGAGCCACCCTGTGGGTGCTGGGAACTGAACTCAGGTCCAATTCCTGGAAGATCTTCTGGTGCTCTTAACTGCTGAGCCATCTCTCCAGCCCCGGGATGCTAGTTTTGATGGGTTCCGTTCTATTTAGTTCTTCTGACTTGCTTTGTGCCTTACTCTGCTCCTTGTTGTTGCTTTTGCTCTATTTTAAAATCCCTCTCGTGCACTGAGTAGCTAAGCACGTTCACACCCTGTTAACTGTCGTCCTTCCCGACTTCACTGCATTTCCGCTGGGGTCTGTTGTATGTAACCCCATGAACTACACTATACAGAAAAGGCCTTGAACTGACAAGAGGTCCGCCTGCCTCTGCCTCCCAAGTGCTGGGATTCAAGGCATGAATCACCACCTGGCCTTTATTTAATTTTAATTAATTTAAAGGAGCCACATGACTAGTATCTGCTATATTACGTGAATAGATCATTGTATGGATTAGGGATATATTATGTGTGAGATGGGAAGTATTTTGAACTTTTTGAGCAGTGGAGTCATACAACCTCAATGTGGGTTCTAAGTTGGTAGAGTATCAGTAAATTGAAGAAGATGAACAAGGCAGTAGCTTGGGGAATTATGGTCCAGGGATGAGATGATGCTGGGTGGAGCTAGGTCCACAGTTGTAAGAGGAAAAGGTATCAAATTAGGGATAGTTCTGTTTTTTAAGATTGACTTTTCGTTATTTTGTGTGTTTGTGCCTGTTGTGTTTTTGTGCACGTGTATATATACTAAATACATGCTTAGTGCCTGTGGACACCAAATGGAGTCAGATTCCCTGGAACTGGAATTACATGTGGTTGTCAGTTAGAGCTGGGAACTAAACCCGGATGCTCAGCAAGAACAGCAAGAGGTCTTGATTGCTGGGCCACTCTTCCAGCTTTCCAAGGATAGGTTTCGATGGTGGACTCAAAGAAATCAAGAACTAAGCAGCTTTAAGAACAAAACTGCCGCCGGGCGATGGTGGCGCACGCCTTTAATCCCAGCACTCGGGAGGCAGAGGCAGGCGGATCTCTGTGAGTTCGAGACCAGCCTGGTCTACAGAGCTAGTTCCAGGACAGGCTCCAAAGCCACAGAGAAACCCTGTCTCAAAAAAAAAACAAAAATACAAAAAAAAAAAAAAACAAGAACAAAACTGCCGTAAGGCCTTTGGGAGTTCTTTTGTTTGCATTGAACTGAAGAGGCCGTTTTAGATATCTAAGCATACGTGTTGAAGAGGCATTTGACTAATCTGTAATTCAGCAGTTGCCTAAAACAAGAGCCTCCTCAGCTCGTCGGTGTGTTTGTAGGGACGAGACTGGGTGAGAGGACTCACAAAGCAAGCACAGACCACAGTAAGACATTCACAGTCTCCCAGAATGCCAGAGGCCGTGTAAATATACAACATATGGCGATTGATAATTCAGATGTCGACCCACCAGAGCAGTGACGCTGATGGAGGTTGATCCTGCAGGACCATGGATTCTGGAAACTGTGGCTCGCATTTTCTAAGGCAGCTTGGTCTCCCAGTACCTGTCCTGTCGTGTGTAATGTCATGTGATGTGTATGTAATCTCATGATTACATCTCGGTCTTACGGGCACATATATCTGTGGATGGTCAGGAAGATGACTTTTCATTTAGCAATCAGTTTTGGTAGATAGAATATATGCTACAATAACTTGATCTGTTTGTCCCATGAGGGCTGTAGACACTTAAAAGCCTGTTTTGTTCCTTTTACTCAGGCTAACTGTACAATTAGCTCACTTCCACCTCAGAGTAAAGTCAGAGTCCCAGATGTCTACCGAGGTTGCTACACAAAGCACCCTAAGGAAAGCATGCCAAGTGTGCTAACAACTGATTTATGTCTCAAAGTTTGTCACTAGGCACCGTGCCCCCCTTACCCCCAGTCCAGTCCTAGTCCTGAAACCTTGAAACCCTTGTGTTTACATGGTAAATAGCTTGACTCCTTAGTCGCTCATCTTAGAAATGTGCTTTTGACCAATGAGAGGTAACTCTTGTAATTTTTTATTACCGCTCTAAGCACCCTGTGGGAGGAAAGTTTGGAGTCTAGAGGAGAAGTTAGGAGGAATTAGAAGTAGGTGAGGAGAATTAGAACAGAGAGAAGTATTGGAACCAGACGTGAGTGAGAAAGTTTGTTCACTCACAGTTCCCTAACTAAGAAGTTCCTTTCGGTTGTAGCAGCCATCTGAACCCTGAAGTGGGCTTGGGGCTGGATCCTAAAGTCCCTCAATACCAGAGGAGTTTAGTGTCTTCAAAGTTGTTTGGTGTTCAGTGATGCCTGGTAATTTGCTTTGGTTTTTGGTGTTTTGAGAAGGATTTCATGTAACCTGGATGCCCTTGTGTCTATGATCCCCCTCTACTTCCCGAGATGGGGATCACAGTTGCGCACTGCCATGCCTTCCTGCGACTTTAATCCTCCCTCCTCACATGTTTACCCAGCCCTCAGTTAGGAAGAGAGGACTTTCTCGGTTCTATCAGTTTACCCTCGCCTAACTCAAGGACCGTCAGATCCTCTTCTTCCGCTCCCCCAGAGAAGTCAATAAACAGTAGATCCTTTTGAGACAGGGTTTCTCTGTGGCTCTGGATCCTGTCCTGGAACTCACGCTGTAGACCAGAGATCCACCACCTGCCTCTGCCTCTGCCTCTCGAGTGCTGGGATTAAAGGCATTTGTGCCACCACCGCCCGGCCACAGTAGATCTTATTGAGCATTGTTGCAGTTGGCGGTGGGAGTTGGATATCTATCAGTCCGTTTATTGCAGAGCATGGTGGGAAAGATAAGCGTGCTTAAACGTGTTTATGGTTAATTGTGTCAACAGCTTAAATTTTGTTTATTCTAGAGAGCTATATGACCAAGAACTCTGAAGATGATGAGGTCACAAAAGCGCCTAAGCGATCTGTTCGGAAACGGGGCCGAAGCACAGATGAGTACTCAGACGCAGATGAGGATGATGAAGAGGAAGGCAAAGCATCCCGCAAGCGGCTCCACCGCATTGAGACGGACGAGGAGAGCTGTGACAATGCTCGTGGAGATGCAGAGCTGCCTCCCCATGACAGCCAGCCCAGGGCCCTGCCCTCAGAGCAGGAGAGCAGCAAGAAGCCCTATCGGATAGAGAGTGATGAGGAAGAGGACTTTGAGAACGTGGGCAAAGTAGGGAGCCCATTGGACTACAGCCTAGTGGACTTGCCTTCCACCAACGGACAGAGCCCAGGCAAAGCCATTGAGAACTTGATGAGCAAGCCAACTGAAAAGTCCCAGACCCCCAAGGACAGCGGCACGGCCAGTGCAAATCTAGCCCCCAATGGGACAAGTGGTGGACAGGAGGTGGGGGCCCCAGAGGAGGACGAAGATGAGCTTTTGCGAGTGACTGACCTTGTTGATTATGTCTGTAACAGTGAACAGTTATAAGACTTCTTTCCATTTTTGTGCTAATTTATTCCACGGTAGCTCTCACACCAGCGGGCCAGTTAGTAAAAGCTGTTTAATTTTCCTAGAAAACGCTACTACAGAACGACTTTTTACAAGAGAAATTTCAACAAATCTTGAAGTCTTTCTGTGAAGTGACCAGTTTTGAACTTTGAAGATTAATAATTGCTGTAAATTCCTTTTGATTTTCTTTTTCCAAGTTCATGGTCCTTGGTAATTTCATTCATGAGAAAAAAATCTTATTATAATAACAACAAAGATTTGTATATTTTTGACTTTATATTTCCTGAGCTCTCCTGACTTTGTGAAAAGTGTGGATACGAATGCATTCCGAATCTGTGAGGGCCCAAAGCAGAACTTAGGGCGGGAGAAGCACCTGTGCTCTAGCTTTTCATATTAAATATATATTATATTTAACACTCATGGCATAGATGGTGATTAACAAACTGTTTAAAGGTCAGTCTACTGTTGCAGTTTGAGAATTGTAGATATAACATCGTACATACGTCACTTAGTAGTAGCCTTCGTGAAGTCAGTTTGTTTGCTCTTGGAGTCACCACGCATTAATAAAGAAGAGACCATGGAAGTACATTCTAACAACACTTTACCCTAAGTTTCTGTTACAGTAGAGTTTCTTGTTTAAAAGAAAATCAGACACACAAAACCATCTGGAAAGCATCTGTATAGGAAATGGTATAACAATGCCACGGCAACCAGATCATGCTAGCAGTGAGTCTGTAGTAGCTCGTGTGCACTGTGTCGGGTGGGGAGCTGGTGCAGAGTGAGTGTGGGCTTTCCTACCGTGCGGGTACACTGTTAGCTCTCCCGGCCATGTGGTGTTAACTAGCTGAGATGTGATTTGAATATGATCATCTAAACCTAGCCCATGTGGAGATGCTAAGCTGACAGTGGTCTGTTAGCACATCTGAAGACCCAGAAGGGATTTTCAGGTGAGCTCTCACTGGTCTGTTCTTACCCTTAAGTATCTACTTCAAATTGAAGTCTACAAACAAAGCAGTTCCTTTGGGAGGTTTTTAGTTTTGAGTTTAAGCATGTTGTGTGTGTGTGTGTGTGTGTGTGTGTGTGTGTGTGTGTGTGTTGGAATTTTCTGTCTGCCTGGATACATTAGCAGGACTTGAATGTAGTTCTGGCATTTGGCCATTCTGTACGTCTATTAAAATCCATTGATAGTCATACAGCCAACAGAACTGCGAGCCTCTGGTTTGCTTCCGTTCAAACCTCCACACTCTAAGGATTCGCCCTTTGCTTCAGGAATCGGCGGTTTCTGATGAGCTAACGGGTCATGGCTGGCACTAAAACGGGAACCTGATCTTAGTTTCGGGCACAGCCGTAAGCCCATATAGCTGTAGCATTTGTGATTCTTCCCGCCTGGCACGGCCGAAGCCTTCAGCATTGCATCGGTGTGTGCCTTTGCCCAGGATCCAGGTTCTCTGTTCCAGTGTTGAATGTTGCCGGCAATAGACGGACCGTATCTGCTGCTGGCCCAGGGAACATCGTTCTTCTTTCCGATTAAGCATTGTATGTAATAGCCAGTGTACAGTAGACCACTTCTTTTTTCATCACTAAGAGCTGCCATTAGACTTGCATCATAAAGACCTCTCTGGAAACTTTGTGCTCCTACTTTCTGTTCCTCGACAGATACTGCCCTTAAATCTTGGCCTTTAAAGTTTAGTGTTGATTTTATTTTTTCCGTTACTGGATTTCTGTTTCACTTTAGTTCCGGAGAACTTGACCGATAATATTTTTGCTTTGATTCTAGTGATGTACTTGTATTTGCGTAACAATGAAACAGTGAAAGCAGCTTAAAGAAAACCCAAGGATGCAGCTGCTGCTACAGGACCATCTGTGGTTCTTTTTACCGTGCAACAGTTTTGTGCTGGGAGGACGGGTGGGCTGACATTCGCAGGAAGGACCGGAGGGAGCCACACTCGCTTTTAGCTGTTGTTTGAAAACCAGACAAGTAAACCCTTAACTGTCTAGAACAGAAGAACTCCTACTTGAGCATGGTAAGTGGTTCCTTTCCCCCAGTCTCAGAAGGTCTCAGCCCTGCCACCAGAGAGAGCCACCCTGGTGTAGCAGCTCTCCCTGTACTGTCTCCCGCTCTGCACATACCAGCTCTTGCATCCACCTATCAACTCTCACCATTTATGCAGACGATTAGAAGCCGCAGACGAGTAGCTAATGCAGCAGGAGCGGAATGTGAAGTAACTTCTGTCACGGAAAACCCACGGTGATTTTCACAGTAAAGACTGAGTTTCCCACTTAGCAAACGTCCCATTGGCGGGTTCAGAACCACTGTGTGCTACCTGATCCTCACTAAACTTGAGTGTCTCCCTTCTAAACTTGCATTCTCACTAACCAACTGGCTATCAGTAGTAATCCGGGCAGCTAATCCATACGAATTCTTAGTATCCAGAGAGTTCTGCTGCTTGATTTTTTTTTTTATTGTTTCTATTCATGTTGGAGATCGAATCCAGGTCCTCATGCGTGCTGGGTAGAACTCCTGCCGTGTTTAGTGTTTAAGACTCTGTCCCTCAGAGTCTGTTATCTCTCAGAAATACTCACTTGGAAGATGCTCCCAGTGAGGTTTCTGTTGCTGCTGTCAAAATAAATGTGTATCAAAAAATCCCAGTACAGCCATTGAGAATTGGAGGATGGAAAGGCAAGCAGTAAGTCGGGTCTTAAGGAAGTCAGGTTACTATCTTCAATCCTTGATAGATGCAGGTTCTCAACTGATCTGTAGAATGTCCCCTTTAGTAACACCAGTCACTCCCTGGTACCTTTTGAAATATTAGCATTAAGCTTGTCTCAGACTCTTAGTCTACAGCATAGGCGTCATGGGAAGATACAGTAGTATTCAGAGGGTTTACTTTGCCATAAAGTTTGAAGACTCGCCAGATTTGAAACAGCGTAGGAAAAGGACTCAGACCGTACTGGTGTGATGGCATGTTGGTGTTTATTGTTACTGCAAAGTGATGTTTCCAACAGAACACACAACACAGTGAGGCTTCCTTGGCATCATCCAGCTTGTCAAGGTTGCAGATTCAGAGGATAAAGAAGAATTTCATTAAGAATGAATTCATGTTTACTGGTAACTTATTTTTTAAAAAGTGATCTGCCAAAGAACCAAGAACTTCAGATACTAATGGATGGCATTGTTGTGGGGGGGGGGCGGGGAAGATTGCTAACAATGTTATTCTCTTTTCACTTTCTAGTGGCTAGGGCCTATCCTATATCACAGACATTTAGGCAGAGTACAGATACTAAGGAAAACGTGGACACTTGTTTAATTTGAGAGTGGGAAGGATGGAGAATGTGCTGGTAGTCAGCCTCATTTGTAGGCAGAGGTGCTAGCCACTGCTAACTGTTCTCTCCGGAGACAAAACAAATCTTAACATTCAGATAATGCTGTGACTCCACGCCCCGCTGCCAGCCAAGCCGCTGGTCTCTGTTCAGGATAGTGTGCTCGCTTTAGAACAGGTGTTCAAGAGTTTTCTTACGGGGAAATGTGCATACACACAACTTCCTGGATGACTACTAGAATCCTGAACTCATCATGAACTTACTTATAAAATATATAAGGTAAATAGTTGTGACAAAATTATGAATATGATTCAGTTATAGAAAGTTTAGAGAAATAGTTTTTCTTGTTGGTTTGGCATTCTCAGAATATATTTCTGGTTCTCATGGGAGTCAGAGAATGCCAAGACCACGTGTGTGCTGTAATCTACATAGTCCTTGTCTGTGTTCATATGGTCCATTAGTGAACTCTCCGAATAAATCCATTCCTGTTTTATCCTCCATTCCCGTTGTAAACCGTGGAGGTGGCAAGCTAACTGCTGGTGTATGTTCTTACTGTTTGTCCCCGATCCTGAAGGAAGAGGCATTTGCTTTCAGTGGCTTTTGTTTTATTTTATTTTTATTTTTTGGTTTTTTGAGACAGGGTTTCTCTGTGTAACCCTGGCTGTCCTGGAACTCACTCTGTTGACCAGGCTGACCTCTGACTCACAGAGATTCACCTGCTTCTGCCTCCTGAGTGCTGGGATTAAAGGCGTGCACCACCACCACCCAGCTTCAGTTTTTAAACTTTGTTATGTCTCTACTTAATTTTCAAAATATTTCAATCCAACTTAAATGAGTTAACACCTTTGAGTGCCAACGTTTGCTAGGTACCTGGCTGCATATCACTGAGGATAACCTGTCGCCATGGAACCGTCGTAAGCCAAGATAAGGCGGACCTGGTCCGGAAGCACCAGATCGTGCGCACAGCACCTGCTGCTCACACCAACCCTCTCACACGTTGCTTAGAACAGTTCCCTTGGCATTTCCGCCCCTCAGGCCATGTCCACACCTCCCTGCCCTGTTTCGCATGTGTGCCACTTTGCCGGGGAGACCTGTTCTGGAACATTCGCTGCGCTCTTTTCAGTTCAAAGTGTTTTTATCTTGCTGTTTTAGATGTCTGTCCTATACACAATATATGCGAAAGAACATATCAAATTACCAGAGGAATGGGGATTTACTAAGTTCTAGACATTTTGAATGAGGAAAAAAAAAGGAACTATATTTGTGGGTTTGTTTTCTTTTTCTGCCAAACTGGTACAAGCTAGAAAATGTGCAGAGGACTTAATAGCCTGCCTTGTTCTTTTTGCCACTGGATGATTTACATTAAGAACGTGCTGGTTTAACTCTATTTTCTTGACTTTCATCAGTTTCAGGAGTCTGACTTAAGTGTTTGGGGTTTGTTGATGTGTATTTATTGCGTCCTGGTCTTAGGCCAGGGGGCTGCATGTTGTGTTTGTGGACGGCCAGAACACAGTCATTGTGGGACTTAACGGCTCGAGATCTTCTAAATCATTTAACTTATTTTGTACGTTGCAAAAAAAGAAGAAAAAGTTTATTTTGCTTGAGAGTCACATTTTTTTATAACTGTACAGCTTTTAAGGGACGGGAGGTGGGAAATACCCTAAAATAGGATGTAGATTTTTACAGTTGTGTTTATGCTAGAACATCTACAGGAACATTATGTAATTAAACCTCAAATTGTTTAACACCTGTGCCGTGGTCTTTTTCGTTCTGTTGCCCAGGCAATCAGCGGCATTCTTTCCGTGCATGGCTTCTTGCTGCTTGTCTAGGGTATTGTTGGCGTTGGTGTGTTTTGTTCTTGATCGTAGTGTATGGGTTCCTTGCCTAAAACTCCCATGGGGTTCCATGTGCACTTTAAGGAATGGACTACGTTGAGATGGAGGTGGGAGTGGGGGCAGGGCTAGGAAAGAAGGAGAAACTTAAACTGTTTCACCATTCCGTAGACTTAGCCAACTTGCTGAGACTTGGCAGGAAGGGACACCACGTTCAGTTTTTCAGTCCCCCTCATTTGGTAATTTTGGTCTCTTGACTTC